CATGCGGGTTGGCGCTGACGGGTATCCCTATGGGACTTACTGCAGAAAAACGAAACTAGGGGCATCAGCTACTACATCTGCAGTTTACTCCAAAAGTTTCAGGTCTAGAGCCTTGTCGACAGTCTTCAGCAGTAAATTAGTCAGATCAGAATTTATATCCAGTAGTAAATTAGCCCTTTCAGAAATTACTTTCGTAGAGGGTCTGTTTCGATTCTATTAAATCATCCAATGAAAGAATGTGAGAATGAATAGTTATAAACAAGTGAGAAACAAACACAAGCATGGAAACAAGGAAAAGGCAAGATTTCTGGATTACTGGATAAGAATCTACAAGCCTCTTAAGTACCATTGATACTATCTTCAAAGCTTGAATGTGGCAAGAAATCGTTGTGACCTATAAAAATGTGTACGGCTATTGTAAGGTGTTTTTTTATGTTCGTTTTCAATATAGCTACTTACAATCTGACATTTATTCAGCAGGTGTCGGCAAGAGAAATGGAATGTTTGGGTTTGAGGTGAAGTTGGTAAACGCACTCTGAATTTACTAATGATTAGAGTGTGTGCCATTGAAAATGAATGTGCCTATTAGACAATTACGCAGTCTGCAGGTTTTTTTTAAAATACATGTATTTATTATTTTACACAGTTTAGTTTGATGGATGTTAGTATATTTTGCAAATCAAAACTTGTTATCACTGGAAAATACAGTCGGAATAAAGCCCGTGTCCATTGCGAGCTCGTGCGGAATTAAGTCTAATGAACACTGTGCTGGTGTGATTAATTTAACCCTAACCTTCCCAAATCCTCTAAAATCCCCTTTGCAAAATGGAGGATTTTGCAGAATTCCGCTAAATGGCAAAATATGCGGCTGATTTTAGATGCACTGAGTCAAGGTATTCTTGGGCCAGACCTTCTGTTGTTTATGCTCAGCTGTGCATACATTTAGGCGCATGCATTATATTTGAAATCCTCCGCACTGCTTCAGGGTGCCATTCAAGAAATAACGGCGGATATGGCAGGATTGAGGCTGTAGGCCTATGCAATCTTTACATAAAGGCATGCAGTTGGAGGATTTGGCAGGATTAAGGTTGCATCCTAGCAAAAAGGCCTATGGGGGTAGGTTAATTGCCCCCCCCCCCCACCACACTAATACGTACCAAAGAAAAGGCTACCGTGAATTCAGGTTAATTTTGACAGATTTCATTTTGGGGTAATTAATCTACGTGGAAGTCACAGGATATGACAACGGTTATGTCTGCTTATTTGTGAAACAGGGGAACGGCTTAGGTCCACTAAATAACCGGGTATTGTACTAGTACCCTCTATATATTTTTGCTGTTGCTATTTTTACGGAAGTCGACAGTTGGCCATGCGTTAGCCCCATAAATGTGGCCAATTTACTGGACTACCTCCGAAAACACAGGCCACACATCCACATGTACAAAAACGTGTCGCACTTTGTCAAATTTTGATTTTCACATTTAGGCTTAGTTTGTCGGGTTTTTTTGCTTTAGAAGCATTCTCACCCTCTATATAGGCTTATCAGAAAGTGCTGCCATTTTCAGATGTCTATTTTTGTGAAATTTCCAGATTCATTTGCACACGTTTGCGTATCAAAATTTCAACATGAAATTTCACAAAAATTTGACATCTGAAAAAGGCAGCACTTTCTGATTAGCCTATAAAGAGGGTGAGTATGCTTCTAAAGCAAAAAAACCCTACAAACTAAGCCTAAATGTGAAAATCAAAATTTGACAAAGTGCGACACGTTTTTGTACATGTGGATGTGTGGCCTATATATATGTTTACGGAGGAAGTCCAGTAAATTGGCCACATTTATGGGGCTAGCCATGCGTCAGTTGTCAACCAAATGGCTCTCGGACTTCCCTTAAACGAAATCTTTCAGGGTCATGAAGCAGAAAGAGAAATTAAATCTGGCCTTTACCAGCTGTTACTTTCTAAAGGTGATTAGGTGAGTAACTATGCCATTTATATCGGAAAGTTTTCTAAATGAAAAAATATTAAAAACATGTTTAACAACTCACCGAAGCACATTGCATCCACTGGCTCGCCCGTCCGTTGTCCTTTTCTTTAAATACAGTGACCTTCTTGGAAAGCCCAGGATAACTAACTGCTGAAAGTTCCCCCTCACATGGTTGCAGAAACACATTTCAGTCTACTGCAGCAAATACACGTTTGGCAAAAATCGAAGATGGCGACGTTGTTTGAAGTAGGCGCAGCAGCGGCATGATAACGTTCTCAGCAAGGCCGTAAAAGTTTCTCCCTTAATGTACGTTGATCCGGCATGGTAACTATGTCGCAAGTTTGTGTCCAAGTTTGTTCTAGAAAGTGTTTCTGTTTCAGAAACAGGTAGAAACGAAGATTCGAGGTGAAACGACGGTCATTTTATCGCCCTTCCCAGCCAATGAACTTGAACGTCCTCAACAGTTTCGCATCTTGTGCACGGCCGGCATTCCCGTCAAAAGTTTAGTGTGGCACAAACATGCACAAGTCGTGCGTGCGCGTGCGGTTTCTAATTTGCATAACAATAGGAACGGAAGAATTTTCGCCAGGTGCAATTCGGCGCGCCCTCCAAAAACTTGTTTGTTGAAGATTTGGGCCAAAGTCGTCTGCTCGGTTTGATAGTGTTCACATTGAATACATCAGGCTGTCGTTTCGGGTTATCAGTGAAAGTAAATATTGAAAGGGGTAATTATTATTCAAGCTATCTTTAAGCCTTTTATTCAATGTGCCTTAGAAATTTCCTAAGTTGCCGACGGATAGGGGCCTGGGTTTGAAGAATTTATTTAAATGCAGACATCCTTCAAGCAAATTTGCAATCCCCCCCCCCCACCCAAAACTAGCATATATCACTTTAAAGAAGGGTCTCGCGTATAAACTTGCACAAAGTGTGCATGTACTCTTAAAAATTTACCCTAATTTAAGAAACGATTCTTAGTTGTATTTTTCATGGACTACTTTCTTTTTTTACCCCTCTCGGGGACGGGAAAGCATATAGTTGTCGCTTCCAGGCATTTTAAAAATAAAAAAAGAAAACAAAACTTACTATACCGCTCTAAACTGCTGTGTGCTGTCTAGTCGTGTAGGAGGACTTGGCCATGGGCGTCATGAGGGGGGAGGGGTGCTTGCCCCCCTCCCCCCCCCCCCCCCCCCCCCCCCCCCCCCCCCCCCCCCCGGCAAGAAAATAAAAAGAAGAACGGGCGCGAAAGCATATTGTTTTTAATTTAATGGGCTGGGGAGGGGCAAATGTCCCTGCCCACCCTCGAAAAAAATGATCAACCAGGAAAATGCTGGAAAATATAGGGATTTTGTGGGGAAAAATTGCTTTGCCTCTCTAAAAAAATCCCGGCAACGCCCATTTCCATTTTATAAAAGGGTCTGTTGCGCCACTTTTCAATTGTGGTTTTTGTTGTGTCAATTATTGTCCCAGAGTAAAAGGCTATGGTTGCCAATCAAGGCAGGTGGGGGAAAATGAGATTCACCATGAAAAGTGGCGCAAGACTCTATATAGACCCTTTCATAAAATTGGTCACTGCCAGAGTTGCTGACTCGAGTCATGTGACTTGGACTCGAGTCGGACTCGAGTCGCTATTTTTGTGACTTGTGACTTGACTTGTAAATACCAGCTTTGACTTGTGACTTGACTTGGACTTGCAAACAATGACTTGTGACTTGACTTGGGATTGCAAAAAATGACTTGTTACCAACGCAAGTCAGACGCTACTCGAGCGACCCAATACACTTTAATCAAGCTATTATAGCGAGAAAGTTTCATTCCAGAAAATAGACCTCAGTGACTTAATTAATCCAGTCAAATGAATAGTTCCCACTAGTTTCAAAAGTTTTCAATAAGACTGTCACAACAAACTACAGTTTTCAATGACCAAGTCTCTTGCTAAATGTAATGGTTGAACAAACTTTGAAAGGAACCTTTCATGAAAAGAAAGCAGGCCTTTATCAATTGCATGTAAAATACCGGATAGCCTAACCCATTGGTAGGCGTTTAGTATACATGAAAATTGAACAATAAAGTGTTAGTATACTACATGTAATCGAGTGAGTGAAGTCTTTTTTTTCATGTCATCTCAACATTTATTTCTACAATGTAAAGTAAATGTATTAAAGTATACAAAGGGCTAATATATCCGACAGATATGTGATAAACTACAAGAATAGTAATTGCAACACATTGAAAAAGTGGAATTAAGGAGGCATGTTAAAAATAACTTGTAAGTTCAAACGCCAGGTTCTTTTAGCTTATTACAGCTGGAAAAAATTATGTGCAACTTGACGTGTTCTTGGACAAAGATACTTGTGACTTGACTTGTGTTTAGACCAATTAAATGACTTGTGACTTGACTTGTGACTGGACCTAATGACTTGTGACTTGACTTGTGACTGGACCTAATGACTTGTGACTTGACTTGGACTTGCAAACAGTGACTTGTGACTTGACTTGGACTTGCAAAAAGTGACTTGCTGCCACCTCTGGTCACTGCTCAGTCAAACGTGAATGTAAGGACATGATCAGGGTGTCATTTTAAAGAGGAGATTCAACCCTAACAGAGGATATCTCCCTTTTATTCACATGTGCCCTACTTCTGTTCCAATTAGCAATAATATCTCGGTTTCGTTTTTTTTTATCCACCCTGTACAATAACAACACAATAAATACTGGGGCATTTACAACTGACAGTTGTTTATAAAACTCGGTCTGAGCAAATGAAGGAGAATTCGTCTGTATCTTCATTTCTCCGTAGCACAGCACAAACTGAATTCGAACCAGATAACGTCTGTGTATATATGCGCGGTTTCCCCACCCAACAGCGTGCGAACCTTTTATGGTAAGCTGCTGCATATCTGTGCTGACCCTATCAGCCAATGCATATCACACGCACACCCACACGACTGCAAGACGGCACGCGTGGCGGACATGCGCAGTGCGGCCCAAGACGGCATCAGGAAAATTCCTGGCGAATTCTCCGTCTTCTGCGCACCGGTCTCATCGCGTTCGTCTTCTGGACATCTCTGAGTTTTGCTCCCAGATCTGGCTGTATCTCGGCTCCGCATCATCGACGAAGAAACATAAAAAGAAGAATAAAGAAAAAGTCGACTTGGATTATTTTATCACTGAGCTTCCTTGTCAGCTGGACATGAGGATAGTTTAAAAATCGCCTCGGAAAGCGGTAAGTTTTGGCGAGAAAAAAAAAAGAAGCCTTGATATTTAAAACTTGAACCGGGCTTCAATTAAGTAAGCATCTTCAGTTCGCGAGCGGTAGCATCTTTTTGGGCGTGTGTGTGTGTTATCTCAATGTAATTTAGCCGATAGTATGTCAGGAATTTAGGCTTGCTCATTCATGATCAACAGCCGGGAAAAAAGCCTACACTGGTATACTGCAGCGAAGAAGAACTTTCAGGAAAATATGTTTCAAGACCTCTGAATATCTGAACATCAAAAGCAGGACCATTTAATTATTCATCATAAAGTGCTAATCAGTGTAATTAACTTTAAAGGTTGATTTTAATTAACGTTTAAAGGCATGCATGCAATACATCCGATCGTCCGTTCAACTGCTTGAACTGATATAGTCATCGGTTAGCCTTGGAGATTTTGTTCAGGCGCGCAAAACTCTTTTTACTGAAATCCAAAACAATTATGGGTTTCAAAGATTATATATTGTAAGACGTCATATGCCAAATACTTTTTTTGTGTGTGCTGTAAGCAAAGAATAAACCATTGTCATTAACCGAATTACGAGTGGTAGAGGATATTATATGGCAAGATTTTATAGCAATGTCTTTTAGGTGCTCAGTGCAGAGGGCAAGCAAGGGCGAATCCAGAGATGTTACTGCCGGGGGGGGGGGGGGGGGGGGGGGCGCTGAGGCTGTGGCGGAGAGGGAAGGACTCTCACAGGTGAAAATGGCCTTATTTGAGAACATTCCGGTCCTTGCTGGGGAGGGGGGGGGGGGCGCCGCACTCTGCACCCCCCCCCCCCCCCCCAGGATTCGCCACTCGAGAATATACTTCAATAATTTTGACGTGTTATAGAAGTGATGTTTCCCGTCAGAACCGGCACATTAACTAGGGACGGTGTAACAGGAGGTAAAAAGAGCAGGCAAAACAAAAAGTTACAAATAAGGCTAAAATAACTGTTGACTAAAAACTATGGGTGGTTTCGTGTCAAGGTTGGGGCGCCGATCAGACTAATTGCACATGACAGGCTTCATTTTGATAGGTTGCACCGAAGACCGTTATTATGCATCCTCCCGGCTCCCGAAATAAAGTTATATTTTACAAGTTTTAAATATAAATTCTTTTACAAACTCGATCGACCCTCAAATAAAGAAACCCCGATCCTTTTAGGATCTATCCTGAATGAGGACAACTTTCATTAAAAAAAAATTGCCAAGTTACGAAAGTTAGGTTTTAATTCAAATGCGAATTTCAATTCATGAGCAAAAGTGCGATGTCATATCGATGTTAAAAAAATGGCAGAATTTTGGATATTAAATTTTTGCTGTCGTTTTCTTTTCTTTGATGATTTTTTGGTGTGTCAGTACATGGCAGAAGACCAATGAGCAAACCTTTCTCACAAATGTTTTCTGTTGAGCAGAATGTTTGGGTTCACACTATTTTGAACAGCAAACAGCAACATCGACCTCAGTTGTCCGGAAAAGCATGGATATTTTGAATTTGTTTAATGAAGTTCGCTATTCAATAAAATTAACCCCAAAAAAGGGATGTCCGAATAGTTTTCATACATTTTCTAAGAAATACTGTTCCTAAAAAAAATTCATTTCAAGGACGTACCTTTTAAAAATGTGGATTTTTGGTGGGCCGGGGGGGGGGGGGGTACGCACCCGGCGCACCCCACTGGGGACGAGCCTGTTTTTGATTAGATTGAAGTTATTTTTGTTGTTAAAATAAGTTATAGAGCAATTGTTTCGTTTCAGTAAAGATTACTGTCCGCGTCACGTGCTGTACAACAAATTGATTATATTTTTTTCTCCTGCCTATTTTTTGTTATGAATGGTTTCTTTATTAGCACAAACTGAACCTCACGCGAATATGCTGGATTCTGACAGGAGACGGACATCAATCTACCCTGCAAGAGCCCAATTTACGGCCGGCCGCAATAAAATCTGTTACTCCATTGATTAATAGAAAAATGTAGGCAGCTTTTTTCGTTCGATTTCTCATTCAAACTTAAACAACTTTTTTGTATTGATATACAAGCAGCAATTAAACACAATCAATTTCTTTTGCGGGGTAAAACTCCCAAAAATGGACAAGCAGAATAACTTCTAACTTCTAACTTCTAACTTCTTCGCTTTCGGTTCAAGTTTTGGGCTATTTCACAAAACTTGCCCGAGACTCGGTAGATGTGTCTCCGATGTCGTTTTGCCCCCATCATTATGCAGAGAGTTTGGATAAAAAAAAAGAACACGCAATAACATTTTGCCTCACTTCAAAAGCCTCACTTTAAAAGTTCAAAAGCCTCACTTTAATTAATTCAAAACCTATAATTAAGCGATAATCTCCAAAGTAATTGGGACTTTAAAAAATCATACAACGCGAGTTTGAAGCCGATCTTTAAACATAGACGAAGTGTTAAAAATGGCCATGATGACAGTAGGGTGGTAACAATATCAAACTTTTGATATGACATTCTGCACATGATAAGTCCAGACGTCAGTCCATATCCTTCGATATCGCGGGCCGAATGAAAACAATTTCACGTGTGACTGTGTGCGATCGAATACGATTCTGAGTAGGCCTACGATTTTTTAATGTGCGAAGAAATTCCACACGTTCCTTCCCCAACTTTAGCTCGACCCTGATGAAATTCTAGCTATGTCTGCCGACGACTGCTTGCCGTTTGGCGTCTGGAGTTGTTGCCTGATGAGTTTATTATGGCGCGATCGGCCCGGTTTAGTATTTGGTATGCATATGCAAGATTGGCGCCTTGAAAGTTGAAGCCGCAGGATTATGTTGAACCATGGAGGAAGGTTGAACCAGTTTCGTAAAATGAATTTGTGATTGAACCTTGAACATTTTTCTAGTATTTTGTACACCTTTTCTTAGTTAATAGGTATACCAGCCCGCGGAAAAACATGTTGCAACCTGACGCCACTTCCGCGATTGATTGTGTACAAAGTCTATGGAGAGTCAAGAAAAATTTCAAAGTACTTCCTAACAAAATTGGAAATGTTTCTCAGCTCAGTCCCAGATTCATGTCTTTTCGTCATTTTTGCAATGAATGAAATTCAATGAGATTGATTTATGAAGAAAAAAGTGGCATCAGGTTGCAACATTTTTTCTGTCTAGTTTGATAAACATTCTAAAGAAAGTTGTAATAATGTGCAAAATATATTGCAAATGTATGTTGACAATACTCGAACTAGTTGGGAAATGGCAATTTGTGTGTTTAAATGAAGTTTACTGTATTTTGAACCTGCCAGTATCGAAATGTCGGGTCCACTAACTTTTGTAGTTTGCATATTTAATGTCAATCCAGTCAGAAAGTAATTTGCAGCAGTTTTCTGAATTTTTTGTAATGTAGAATGTAACAATTGTAGTAGCTCAAATCCCATAATATTTCCATCATTGTTTTCTTTTTTGCTCTTTTTGAGCAGGTTCTGTAATCAAGGATCACAATGGTGAAAGAGTCCGGACCCACGTTTGTGCAGAAGCCGATCCTCGACCAATCGGATGACGGCCGGGTCCTCAAGTTCTCCTGCCGTATCGCCGGCGAACCCCGGCCCAACTTCAAATGGTTCCTGAATGACAAAGAGCTGAGCGACGGTGGGCGCTACTTCATGACCACCAAGCCCGACGGCGACAGCTACCAGGTTGCCTTGGAGATCGAGGACGTGTCGGGCGAGGACGCTGGGAATTACAAGATCGTCGCCGAGAACAAATCCGGCAGTACCAGCGCCACCATCAATCTCAAGTTTGGCGGTGAGTTGTCTCAAAGGTTGGGACTCTCAATTCCTTAACATTGTTTAACTATTGAAAATGATGCTAAAAGAAAATACATAAAAATCTTCTCTGAATACATAGCAATGGTCTGACTGGTTTTGTACTTGAGCAGTCACACACTTTGACACAACGTTTATGTCGTTACCAAATTTTCATGACTTCCCAAGATTTCCCCCCCCCCCCATTTTTCTGAAATTACTACTTCTTTTTTTTCCGCCCTGAACAGAAGAAGAAGAAGGTGAAGGAAAACCAGGGTAAGTTGTCATTTCCTCAATTAAATCAAAAAAGTGAAATCTCGATAAGTCAAACTCGGATAACTTGGATAATTCCCGTCAAGAGAATAGTATAGTCTGTACACGAATACCCCTGTAAACTTGAAAGACCACACCGGTACCTCCGTTTACCCCAAACTTTGGTTTGGCCAGTCCATAAGAAACTGTAGCCTACAGTCACAAAGAAACGTAAAAAGATCACAAAACTTTTATCATGAGTCATAATCCGCTCCGTTCACAAGTATCCCTCACCGGCAAAGAAAGTACAGTTGGGGGTGACCGACCGACGCCATCTTGCCTGACTGCAATTTTGCCGCGACGCGCGGCCACCACTAGCACTGCGTTTACATAGTACAACTGAATGCCCTGGTGTACGTGCGTCACACACAAGGAACAGTGCGCGTCAACCACCGAAATGTCCCGCCCATGGGACGTCGTTGCTAGGTAAAAGGGCGCCCTCTTTCGTTGGCGCACGGAGCCCATTGCTGAACACACTTTGTCTTTCCACGTGGGGATGCAGCATACTCAGTGCCAATGTGATCAGACTCCAGCCCCGTTACCGCAACAAATCCTGGCTTGCCAGTTAGCCTGATCACTACCGCTGGCCCTATTGTAGCCAGCACGCCGGCGGTCAAATCACTGACTCTTTGTGGTGGCCAGGTGATCGCATTGGAAACGCGCGCCTGGCTTTCGAGTTAACCTGACCGTTACCGTTGGGCCAGGTGCAGTTGCATGACAGCGCCCTCTATTGATCAAACAGAATCGGTCATGTGACTGCACATCGGAAAACACTGAACATGGTGTGCGCGCTGCATCGCTTCATGCCGTAAAAAAATCGTGGACTTGCCATCTTATTAAATATGTTCTTTTTTTTTGATGGCCTGAAGGGGTGCCGATGGCCTGGCGCCCAACTTCACCATGAAACCCAAGATGCGGCAGTCTGAGGACGGACTCAAGCTGACCATCGAGTGCGAGCTGATGGCTGACCCGGAGCCCGAGGTCACCTGGTATCGCGGCAACAGCACTCTGCGCGACGGAGGCCGCTTCCGGCTGACCTACACGCCGGACGGGGAGTACATTTTCTTGGCGCTTGAAATCACCGACGTGACGGAGCGTGACGGCGGGGAGTATAAGATCGTAGCTTCCAACAAACTGGGCACTGCTACCAATACCATCAAGCTCAATTTCCAGAGTGAGTCCAGTTTATGCTGTTTACATCTAAAATATATAAAGGGTACTTGTTCTATTGTATGTGTAATTATTTGGCAAACTTGGCCGGGATAGCCAACGAAAGTCTCTTGACTTGTTTCCAGTGGGGTCCCTCGGTAAAAGATGTAGAAGGAAATTTCAGTTTTAGAAGTGGAAGGAAAACCCCAGACTGATATTCGAGGGAAAATCCACGGAATCAGGTAGGGACTGAAAAACCAGTCAACACGTTTGGCCCAGGCAGGATTTGAACCCGGGTCACATCGGTGGAAGGCGAGGAAAGTACCGCTACGCCAACCCGATTCCCCAATATTATGTCTTGAAAGGCAAAACTCAAATATGTTCTTGTGCATGGAGCCGATATAAAACATTGATCCTGTGGTGAATTCCATGACTTTTAGCCAATGTGTTGTTTCTGAGCCATTGCCATCCCCTGACGAAGAAGATTTTAATTAGCTACAGTTCATATCCCTTTCTTTATTCTGCATTCAGCTTTGTACCGTTGCACCTCCAGGAGCAGAAAGATTTTTAATCATTTTTAAAACTTAGATAGTGCCCTGTCCTTCACATATGTGACCTGTTCTGTCAAAATCAGACTTTTTTGGGCATAAGGTCGAAAATGATATTTTTACATATTGTTAACCTATGTTCTTTTTCCTTTTAATAGGTGGTTTAATTTTTGATACCGGTCATTCCTGGGCAGAGTTATGCTATTTTGAAGTTCATTGTGTTGAAAAGTAGAAAACAGAGAAAATGGCCACGAACGTCACAAAACAGTTATTTCTTTAACTGATATTTCTTATCAAAATCATCAAAAATAGTACATGTAAAGTTCAAAATAGGGTTTCAAACTTTTATAATGTATTTTAGACATGTTCAGGATTACAAATATGCAAAAATTTGAAAATCGATAAAAATCACCCCCACAGCGTGTTTTGGCCCTATCTCAATTTCAAACTCTGCCCAGAAGCGTCTGCTTTTGACAGAACAGGTCACATATTGTTCACCATGTGTTTATTTGTTGTCTTCTTTTTGTCAACTTAGCCGGTGCCCCGTCCTTCACCATGCAGCCCAAGATCGAGCAGTCCCCGGACGGCCGCAACTTGACCTTCCAGTGTGAGCTGACCGCCGACCCCAAACCGACCCTCACCTGGTTCAAGGACGACGTGCCGCTGGCCGCCGGCGGACGCTACACGATGAATGTGGAGCCCGATGACAACGTATACTTCCTGACGCTGGGCATCGCGGACGTGTCGGCTAAGGACGCTGGCAAGTACAAGATCATGGCCAAGAACGAGCACGGCGACGCCAAATCAACCATCGACCTGAACTTTGAGGGAGGCGCGGAGGAACCACCCAAACCACCGGTGTAAGTAAAAAAGTTGAAATTTTTTTTTTTATTAAGGCCAAAAAAAAAAAATGTTCGGTCTCTGGTCAGACCAAAGTTCCGGAATTGACGCAGCCACGCAGCTTTTTTTTTTTTTATTTTTGCTTCAAGCTTGGATTGTACAGACAAGGTGGGTACTATTTTGCTTTTTTGGTGTCCTCATGAACATTGGTGTCCTCCATAATTTGCCTTGGTGCTTTCGATCATTTGCCTTGGTGCAATTTCCCATTCCTTGGTGCTCTTTGGAAAAAAAAATTGAGGAGGAGCAGAAATAGAGGGCGCTGTTGGAGCTACCGTGGAACACTTTGGGAAAAAAAAAGATCGACGCGCATGATTAAAATCGACGCGCGCGCTGACCAGAGACCGACTTTTTTTTTTTTTTGGCCTAATCCTTCTTTTTTTTTCTTCAAATGTCGGCTGATGTTGCAGATGACGATTCGATCCCCTTCAAACTCTCAAAAACATCTTTCAGAGTGGAGCTTGAGGTGACCTCAGTAAGGCCATAAGGCTTGAGAAGTCTGCACCCACTTACAATCTCGATCGACACGGACATTCTTCAGGAATTTTGATAGTCAAGACAAAAATCAGGGAAAACAGTAACGTCAGACTATACATTGACATCGTGCATGAGCTGCCCCATGCTGGCCATTAGTATGCTCCCTTACATATTGTGCTAATGAAAAAGTGTTTAAAGGTTCCAGATACACCTAAAAACACCACCTAAATCCCACCTAAAAACACGTTAAAATGTGCAGCATCAGGATTCCGCTCAAACCAGTGAGTTTGGCGGTTTTGAGACATCATCTTACATTGAAAAAAAAACTTCTTAAATTTGCCGAGTGCATGGCTACGGCGACGCGCGCGCATTCCAGAAACCGGAGGCTTTTTTTTTTTGGCCTAAGGGTTTAGGTCAAGGAGTAGGAGTATCTGCACAATTAAAATAATTCAAAATTTACTTTGTGGTTTTGCTGATATTCCAAAAATATTTAGACAGACACTTTTTAGGGACACACTGTATATGGGACTTGATACTAGATTTGAACAGAGCAGTCTGATTGGTTTAGAATCGAATCCAACCCTGTTTCACCAGATTGATAGGCTTATGATTTGCATCTGACAATTACTGATTTCCCCCCCCCCCCCTTTTTCTAACAGTAAGGGAACTCCTCCTTCCTTCATCGGAAAGCCAGGCATGCGCCAGTCGGACGACGGCACCTCTGTCTATTTTGACTGCCAGCTGATGGCCGACCCCAAACCTGAGGTCATCTGGACCCTGGGGAACAAACGCATCCCCACCGGCGGGAAGTACAACCTGAAACTGGAGCCCAAGGGGACGGACAAGTTCTCGCTGATGCTGAGTATGGACAACATCAGCCCCAAGGACGGCGGGACCTATGTGGTCTACGCCCGTAATCAGGGTGGGGAGGACAGGACTACCATCAACCTCAACTTTGACGGTAAGCGCCATTTGTTGCATCTTGCTTAACCTGAACTCCTGAAGCAATTTTGGGGTGCTGTGGTCCAATGGTTATGGTGTTCGACTCGTGTGCCGTGGTACGTGGGTTCCAATCCTGACCGCGAAAACATGGTGCTTGTGCTCTTGAGCAAGGCACTTTACCATTATTGCAAATTGACCAAATTTTGCATCTAAACTTTGCTTGATACTAAGTTACACTCTTAAGCATGAATGAAGGTTCCATAAGCAGGGGAAAAAGTTCAGGTGTGATGGTTAACAAGTTAACTCTGGCACTGCAAAAGGAATGCACACTACACACAACCTGTCGCGATTGGTCACGGCAAATGATGCAACAAATGTCCGTATTCAGATGTGAATTTTGACTTCATTTCAAGAGTTTCGTTCATGTTTTGCTCGCAGTTCGTGAAGCCAACAAGGAGGGCGCCCCAACCTTCATTGAGAAGCCGACCATCAAGCAAGAGGACAACGGTCGTCGTCTGGTCATGGAGTGTAAGGTCATGGCCGACCCTCGACCCAAGGTGAGTGCCCAGCATGCAATTTAAAAAAAAAAATTTTTTAGGTGGGGTATCAATTTTCATAAATACTTCAATAGTTCCAAGAGCAACAATTATATTAACCTCACTACCACCGTTAACGGATTTTAACAACTATTCCTAAATACTTGTACTTAAAACAGTTTACCCATTCCTATTGGTCGAGAGCCTGTCACGTGGCCGGTTTTAAACGGTTGATAAAGACCGGCTGGCTGGTCTTAAACACTTTTCCAGTGTCACATGAAATTTGGTCTCCTTTGAAATACAGTGCCTATTAGTTACAATTTTATTGCTTGAACTTTCACAATGCACACGTCGACATGCGCAATACTACCATTGCACAAATGTGAAACATTCGTACAATTTGTTTGATTAAACACCTGAATAAATCCTCGTCGTCTGCTTGGTCAGAGCCACCAATGCTGTGACCGTGCAATGGAACGTCTGGGCCATAGGTTGGGACGAATAATTCAATGACATGTGATCAACGACTCACCAATCAGATGACGGGGATGTATTCAGGCGTTGTGTAATACAGGTAATTTCGTGAGGGCTAAAGTCCATTGTTTACAATTGTTGGCATGGCACTCAGCCTTGGTGATATTTAAACGCAATTGTATGGGAAAATCATGAGCTTGAAACAGGACTTAATATTATCTTTATACTTCACAGTTTGTCCAAGTTATGAATTGCTGGACCGGTACTTATTAGTGTAGAAAGTACAAGATGATTCAGAGATAAAAATGTCAAATCACATGAATTATGACTTTACAGACTATCCATGGTGGTTAATTAAGAAATGTGTGGACAACACTGTCAGTTTTCATTTCCGCACTTCGCATTTCATTGCAAATATGTTGTGTTATCATCTACAAGGAAACAAAAAAATTTATATATTTTTAAAAACTCTATGAATGGTCTACCAAGAATAATATACTCGTCTGGAAATCAGTCAACTTATCTATGCCAAGGAATTTGTCGAAGCAGACCGTTATGTTAAAAGTCTGACAGTCTATCCCACAATGCATTGCTGTTACATTCGCTCCAGCCTTCATATCTTCACGTTCAGGCAGCCGGCGCGAGTCACGGTTATTTTAAAACGCTTGGAATTACGAGGTTGGCTTAACCTTGCCCTGGGATGAGGTTTTACATATAAAGCGTGGCAGTTAATACATTGGTCACATTGGCGAGATTCCAAGCATGCCGGCCCGGGGACCTGGCAGAATGCCAAGTCTCGTCCCAGGGATAAATTCTACGATTCACAGACCAGACGGAGAATGCCGTACACTATCAGCGATATTAATAGTCAGCATCATCCCTACATGAAAATGTCATGTTAAAATAAGGTCTTCCGCTACACAAACTTGAAATGACATGAAGCATGTTAAGGGACAGACTGGAGACACAGCATCAAATATAAACACATTTAGTTTGTAGATTTGAAACATAAACAAGGAAAAAAATATCGGCCAGCGCTGAAAATGCCCCGACTTTAAATGACAAGCCTGTTATTCTGAGTAATGCACATATTAGCTGATATTATTTTTTTACAGCTTTTCGTTAATCGTTGTATGTAGAAATTGTTCGGACAGGATATACAATCCTTAAACAATTACAAGCTGGGGCTGCTTGAATTACAAACTGGGGCTGCACATTATTAAGGGAATAAATATATGCTTGGCTGGTTTTAATAGCCCAAACCTTCCCAGTCCCCAGAGCCGGTCTTAAACGTACATTCTGACCAAGCACATGTTTATTCCCATTCTAAAATACCTTTGAGACAAAAAAATAAAACAAGTCAAAAAATATAAATTTCCAACGATTTTGTTCAACAAGTCTACTTCATTATAAGATGGATTTTTTTTGCGCCGGGGTGATATAAATCAAATTAGGTTTTGCCCTTCACCGACGTTTAAACACTGTATACTCAGTGTGTTACCTCCCGAATGAAAGTTGGAAAAAATCACTCGGGTGGGACTCGAACCCACGACCCCCTGCTTTCTAGTGCAGATGTCTTACCACTCCACCACCGAGCTAATGGGATCGGTTGGCCGGTTTCGAATCTGATGTACATAGCAGCGGGCACCGCATAAACTATTATAAGATGGAATTTTATGAGGACTCTCGACATGTTGACAACAGTCGCCCATGGTAAGGAAAGGGTTAAAAAAAAAAATACGCAGCTATTGTACACAAAGGGTTTACATTCTGAGAAAATTAAACTTTTATAGCAACTTGTAATACATTTCCATTGTTCTGTTATCATCACTGTCATTTCCCCTTTATTTTGCCTCTAATGCAATTTTGACTGCATTGTTCATGTCGTTGCCATTGTCAGGTGGTCTGGTACTACAACAACAAGGAGCTGAAGGACGCGGGCCGCTACCGCCTGCGCACCACCAAGCAGGGCAAGATCTACATCCTGGTGCTGGACATGTCCAACGTCACACCCCAGGATATGGGCATCTACAAGGTGGTGGCCGAGAACGAGAAGGGCAAAGCGTCATCCACCATGACGGTCAACTTTGAAGGTAGGGCAGGAGGGCAATTCCAGGGTTACTTACGTTACATTTTTGTAACGTGAGTAACTGATTTTGTGAGTCTTGTTTATCATACATAACACATTTTTCCGGATGTCATCTTTGGTGCTTAGGTAGGTCTAGGTCTACTCTATCTACCATGGGGATAACAGTTATTAAACTTTTTCAGAAAGGTAATTACAGCCCAAGGAAACTCAAAAGTACATCAAAAATGTAACGTGAGTAACCGTGGAATTGCCCAGGACAACATTTTGGAAAAAACTTGTTCTAGAAAATATTAATTTTTATTATTATTAATTATTTCTTGAAATGAAACCAAGGATTCCTCAAAAGCGCCCTAGGCACTGTAGCTCACAAGCCTGAAGAAACCTGTAGAGAGAAGACAGTGAGAAGAAATTACAGTTTTAGCGGTGGGATGAAAACCTAAGAAGACTATTCTAATTAAAACCCACGGAATCAGGTAGGGACTGAAAACCAAATCCACATGATGGCCCAGGCGGGATTCGAACCCAGATCACAGTGGTGGTCACAGCCCAGGAATTAGCTTTTGACCCCAATGGGATTCGCTCCATGTTGTGTTGCGCTCACCACGAGAAGAAACTTTTTTGTACATGTTTGAACACGTGAACAACTATGCACAAGACATGCAAGCTGTATGGCGTGACATGAATATTCAGTAGTCTCCTGATCCTGAACCAATCAGACTGCTCCATCCAAATCTGGTAGCAAGCCCCATACATCGTGTAGAATGCTAAAAGCAGATTATTCATGTCGGTAATTGACCTATCGCAGTAGAATTGCGTTAGAATGGCATCAACGCAACTTGTGAAATATTGTCCAATTACATGATATACAAATGGATGCGGAACGAGCAAAATCTGAGACAAACAAAACTTAGTGTATAAAAACTCCATAGGGTTGTCTAAGGGGCGTGGCTAACTTGCAAACGGCGATAGGTCAATTGGTATCGACCTTCACGCATATCGGGGCAGAAAATGCACAAAGCGTCCCCGCAAGTCCGCACGCTATATGTACACCCTGGGACGGTATGCTTTATCTGTACACGCCAGTGCACAGTGGGTGAAATACATCCGGCTAATTACCGACTTGATTTCAAGTCTAGTTTCCTTCATGAGCAAGTCTTGAAAGTGTTTTCATTTCCAGCATATACATCCTCTCGTAATTGGATTTTTCCATTTGTTTTTTTACCTCCCAGTTAAAGACAAGCGCTTCCCTCGCAAGTTTGAAGTCTCGACAGAGGTGGCCAAAGTCCACGTTGACTTCCCGGCATCTTCCATGGAGACCATCGACCTTGGGCCGGACTTCGGCACCCTGGAGCTGCTCATGCCGGAGATGGAGATGGGTGGGCCCAGGGAGATCGAGCTGATCAGCAAGGGACCCGAGGAGCAGGAGAAACCTAAAGTCAAGGATTCGGTGCCAGTCTTCTCCGAGCCGCTCGAAGACGTGGTAAGCATCAAGAATGTTTCAAAATCTGCTAAGATGATTTTGGAAACGTGGGCCCAATTTCATGGCTCTGCTAACCACAGAATTCTGTGCTTACGATCACAATTTTGTGCTAACCGCGCTAGCAGAAAAATTCTGTGCTAACCCAGTAAGCACACAATCCTTAGTTACGGGATGTACGCATGTTGCAGAAGCCAAAAATCCGCGCTAACTTGAAATTCACTGATTGTAAGCATGGAATTTCCTGCTATAGTAAGCAGGGATTTTTCGCTAATGGTAAACAGAGCCATGAAATTAGGCCCAGATGCTGGGTTGCTTCTGCTCAACAACAGACTAACAGTTAGGAAATTCTTGAACAAAATGCAATTCGTCGTGTCCATGCAACAAGGTCGTATCTCCTAAAATCGGCCGTACGTGAAACTCAAGTTTGAGAATGTCAAAAGGTTGTATCTCATGTAAAATAACCCGGATGTTCACACAAAGTCACTGAATGTCAAGATACGACCTTGTTGCACGGAGCGTATTCGTGCGAGATACGACTTTGTTGCAGAATTGAGTTACGAACTTGTACGACTTTGTTGAACTGACGCGACAATTTTTTTTTTTTTTTCCAGGATGTGGAGAATGGAAAAGCCGTGGAGTTCAGATGCAGGATCGTTGGCAAGGTTACCAAGGTCATCTGGTACAGGTGGGTTACCAGTGAATCTGATAATGGCTGGGTACCAGGGAACAGGAAACCAGGGGAGGGGGAACAATCAGGGGTGAATGCAGTGCCGTGTGGCACTCCCAATGCACTGACTTTAAAAACAAATCGTGAGTCCGTTGTATGCAGTGATTTTGCAAAATGCACAAGAACCAGTGAGACTTATATCTGCCTGGTTTTCAAAGTCTAAAATAAAATGTACTAATGTAATGTCAACATTCATCATGTGGAATTTGCGTCAGTGAAGGGCAAAACCTAAATTGAACATTCATCGGGATGTGAAACTGAGTGATATATCAAAATGAGGAGTATCCTCATTCTAATGCATATGAAAAAGTAATGAGTGGGAAAGAAGACTTGAGACCCATTTTGTTGGATCTGATCACAAATACCCATTTTTATTCTTTTTTTTTGTTTGTTTTGCTTTTCAGAGACAGCAAGGAAATCCGTCCCTCGTATAACATCAAAATACTTCAAGAGGGCGACCTTTACATGCTGCGCATGCCCAGGGCTATGGCCCGCGACAGCGGAGACTACAAAATTGTCGTGGTGGGGCCTGGAGGGGAGGCTAAGTCTGAGGCCGAACTTTTTGTCGACGGTAAGATTCTGGGGGCTTTTATTCAAATTCTGAAATGAAAATTGCCAATTTTTAGCTTCGCAGGTCAGCATGGTGTGGATACATTCATGATAACTCGATTTGTGAATTATTTGTTTTTGAGGACAATTTCTGTTGTTGGTTCCCAATTTTGTCGTTAGTGCTCACATCGAGTTTTCACAACTGTATTAAGTCATCGGAAATTAGTAGGGAGTTAAGTGCAAGTGTATCACAAGTCATCGCAAGGCATCAGAAATCAATCGCAAGTCAATCATAACTCAGTTTACAAGTCAATCACAAATCAATCATGACTCAATCACATGTCAATCGCAAGCCATCACAAGTCAATCACAAGTGATCGCAAGTCATCACAAGTCATCACAAGTCATCACAAGCCATCACAAGCCATCACAAGACAATCACAAGTCAATCACAAACCACAAGTCATTTACAAGCCACAAGTAAATCACAAATCAACCACAAGACAATGTAAATTCCAGTAATATGCTATACAACACAAATGTGACAAAAAGCAGATTCTTTGAAGCTCTAATTATAAAAAACTGCACCAAATAAACTAATATACCCGGTTTGGACATTTTTCTTTCCCATTATGTTGTCTATAACTTCCATAATTTTCCCTCCAAGATCTGCCCAGCAAGCCTGCTCCTAAGCCCAAGGACGAGCCAGCGAAGCGACCGGCGCCCGAAAAACCAGAAGGCAAGACAACACCAACAGCTCATTAATTTTAACAAATAAAAAAAAAAAAATTTGATTCCAAATTCAAAAACGAAACAGTACATGTAAGCTTTTGTATAAACTGCTAAGTCAGTTTTCCATTGGTTATGTCAGTTTCTGTCAACATTCCCGGAGCCAATTTCACAGATATTGCTAAGCGTGAAAAATAATTGCTTAGCAAAAACTGGTTACCAGCCAAACGTTTCATGTGATGTCTATTGCTTGTGACTGGTACCCAGCTGATTTCTGCTTACTACAAAAATATGCTAAGCGATATTTTCTGCCACGTAGCTTCATGAGATTTGGCTGAGAATTTCAATTTTTCTTAATTAAATTTTTTCCTGAATGAAATGGATTTACAGAAGTTCCTAGCAAAGCCCCTAAAGTCGAGGAGCCTTTGCAGCAGGCCGTTGCCATGGAAGTGGAAGAAAAAGGCAAGAAAACTACAGCTGCTAACATGATTTTTCTTAAACATAATTCTTGAAATACACCATGCTTTCTTTCAAAGTGAATTTTATTTGTCAAGTATGGATGTTTTGCATAGCTTGCTCATACTTCACAGCAGTCCAAATGCAGAGTGACTTTTGCGTCACTAAAAATATTTGCTGTAATGCTCAGATAACTGCGAATCTGAGAACCGCGGTCCCTGTAAATTAAGAATTGCAAACATTCCCTCATTCTAAAGCTACGGCTTTATCTACGGAGAGCAGATTGTCACCTAAGCATACATTAATTCATATACAAATTCTTGATGCATGCATCAAAGCTATAGTCCATCATTTGCAGCAATCCAATTGAAAAACATACTTGGTTGTAAGATAGTAAGTGAAATTATTCTTTCTGGCAAGCTGTCATTTTGAAGTAATCAACGAAAGAAGGCCTTTCCAACGGTGCGTCATAAGACGCACCGTAGGAAAATTTACATTAGTAGTTCGTTTTGTTATTCGGCGAAGCGCGCGCAAGCATTGGCACGACGCACACGCACGCACGGTTGCTATAATTCGTCGGATCAGTGCGCGACATCGCGTACAGCTGCAATCGGCTCAGTGAGAACGTGTCTTGGATGCTGAATTTAGGCCCAATTCAAAACATGATTCAGCAACTTTTGATTTGAAATTGAGATCCTAGAATGCTGTTTTTCTCGGAATATACAGCTGAAGCTGAGCTGAAACTTCATCAGGTTAATAGTTGTTCAGTATCCTTCATTAGATTTTGAACACTTTTGTTGCTTCAAACGAACAAAATGCACAAATTACAAATGATGGACTATAGCTTTAAATATTGTTAGGGCCCGTATCAATTAACATCCGAGACGAGTTCCGGACAAGTTGCAGGTAGAATCATTCACTTTCTCCAGAAGAATCTCTGCATTTGTCCAGGACGTATTCTAGGGAAATTTTCATCAGCAACTGCTTGACTCACGAATTGCGGGAAGATTGCGGGGAAGTTGTTCAGAATCCTGCAGCTTATACCCGATACAATGTCTGCAACTTGTTCCAGATGTGAATTGTGATGGGCCCTTTAACCTTACATCTTTAACCTTAAACCTTAAGTCATGATACATGTATGCATTAATTCTTGTAACACAATCTTGATGCATATTAACTTTTCTACTTAGATTCAGCTACATACTGCTAATATTTTGTCATACGAAATATCAGTCTCATCTCCCTTTTCATGAAAGCAAATCCATCGTTTTGAATTTAGAATATGATTTTCAAATTCAAAATTCCACAGCTCCTAGCAAACCCAAACCAGAGGAGCCAACCAAAAAACCTGCCGAGACTAAACCGACCGACAAAGACAAGAAAGGTGAAAAGTCAGCAATAGTCTCCAAAGCGATTGATGAAAATGCAATGCATGGCATTAGAAAAAAAATTTCTTTCAAACTTTTATTACAGGCATTGTGTATGTCAGTGTGGCAGCAGTGTTTCATGTTTTTGCACATCTGCATGAACGACACTTACTTTTAAATAAACAAATGGAACATTTCACATTTGAAACTTTGTTTTTCAAAGGATATGCATGGGCGTCGTGGGGGGGGGGGGGGCAAGGGGGGGCACTTGCCCCCCCTGGAAAAGCAAACAAAAAAAAAAAGAAAAGAAAAGAAAAAGAGGCGAGAAGACAAAGTGGTGTAAATTTAACGAGTTGGGGGGGGGGGATGTCCGTGCCCCCCTCTAAAACTGATAAATCGAGAATGTGTTGAGAAATACAAGCTTTTTTTGGCAAAAAGTTTTTTTGCCCCCCTCTAGAAAAAATCCTGGCGACGCCCATGCTGTTCATGTCCTGTATGTACGGCAGCTTTTTTCGCAAATATGCATTTCATTAGTGGTTGTTCTGTCCCGTTTAGGTCAGAAATAATTTACAAAACACCTCTCAACGTGTAGTTGTTTATTTTTCGTTTCTGTTCGTTGTGGTACATTTTGACTTTTTAACCAGTTCACGCCGGGATTATTTTGACAAGAACAGAACGAGGCGCAGGATTACTTTTCACTCAACCTCAAGCCAGGCGGGTTGAAGCCATCACCCTCGGGCAGCACACTCATATTTCGGGCCTCGCTTGCTGCGAGCGGGTCGCTGACAGATATTTCCGGCCTCACTCCCTGCGTGTTTATCCGTCATCCGTTCCGAATACCGCAAAACCTTTGCGTGTATACACAAGTCGTCCGGCATGAACTGGTTAATAATTTGTCATAAAATAGTTATTGCACGTTTGTTGGTAAGTGTTTAGTCACAATTTCACAGCAATTCTAGCACTGTAATGTGATAGATCTAAATATGCTCTTCTTTCATTTTCATTATAACTTTGAACTGAGAAATTTGTTTTAAAGTCAGCAGGTATGAAACCTTTTGCCTGATGTGCCATATTTGTGCCTGCTTTGTCTGTCAGTTTGCAACTGTGCTCATTCTTTTGTTGCTCTGTTAAGGTTTTTTTTTAAATATATTTTCTATACATTTGTTTTGTCAATGTGTTTTGTTTTCATTTTTTTGTTTTGGATGGGGTAGGGTTGAAATGTATGATTATACATTTTGTAACTAAATAATTTCTAATATGCATTGTGACTAATTAAAGAAACTTTTTTAGTTTCATAGGAAGAACACTTTAACTTTTTCACGATTCATGAAATTTGTTTTCAGAAGTGCCCAAGAAGAAGGAGCCGGAAAAACCGTGGAAAAAACCCGAACCTGAGAAACCGACTGAAGCAGGCAAGGATGCACACAACAAACATTGCATCATGTGAAATGCATCATGTGGACCAAATAATTCACAATCATACACTTTATAACAGTAACAATTTCTAATTTCTCTAGTAACTTTCTGAAGACTTTTATTTTAGTTCCATGTAAGCAGGGCGCTAACTTTTCATCAACGTCCGTAACGTTCCATTTTCCAGAAGTGCCTAAGAAAAAGGAGCCTGAAAAACCGTGGAAAAAGCCGGAAGTTGATAAACCAACTGAAGCAGGCAAGGATGTTAAAGAAAATTGCATCGTGCGCACACACCAGTGTGTATTTGCCTGCAATCGGGGACCCCTATTGTCCCTCTTTTTGTTTGTACTTAAACTTTTTAGGAAGACCTCCCATATGTTTTGTACATGATTGCCAAATTGGGGACCTTCGGGAAGTGGGGACCCTATTGTCCTCTATTGTTCAACGTCCCCTACTGAATGCAGAAACAAACTCACTGCATCATGTGAAACAGATAAACAAGAAACAATTTTGTGTGTGTTTAATTACAGAAACTGTGATTGAGAAAACCACGTGCATACCTGTTGTTTCTTGATAATTTTGGGGTTTTCGGAATATTTGAGATGTTTGTGTTAGTATAAAGAGAATTTTGAAAATTTTGGAAATTGCTTGTTATTCTGCCCTATATTTTTTCAAAGGACAAATCTGCGATGGCCCTTTAGCCAAATATCTTTCTTAAGACATACTCTGACTGTGTGCCAAATGCCATGCTTGTATCATCAAAGGCACAATTCTCCCAAATCTGCCCCACTAGCCAACTTGTTAATTTTTTCACATGTGGCAGTAGCCAGACCCTTTTTGGGGGGGGGGGGGGGGGGGGAGGGGTATTACAATGTAACCCGGCCAAAGTAAGCTATTAACCATCATTATTTCATCACCTTTCATTTGCATGATACTTGCATGCTTAACTGAAGCTGTTTTCGTTCCACAGGCCGAACTCTAACTTTTTGCTGTCATTAATGTACATTTCTGCTTTTCAGAATTTCCAAAGAAAAAGGAGCCAGAGAAACCGTTGAAAAAGCCGGAAGTTGACAAACCGACCGAAGCAGGCAAGGGTCTACATACATTGCATCGTGCACATCGCTTTTTTTTTCTTATACAGATGAATAGCAATAAAACAACGCTAATATTGCACTATGATATTTGCAGATGCTGTGTTTGAGATGCCCATACACAGACATGCAACTTTTTTTCTGTTTTTATGGGGGGGGGGGTTGGACTATACATGTTTTTGTGCTACTTGATATATATTACAAAAAAAAAATGTTAGCTAGCATGACACAAGCCACATTTTTTTTATTATAAATTTTTTTAAAATTCCTTTTATGAACAGCACACCCTTCTGTCTTGTACATGTTGGCATGTCCTTTATACAGGGTGAGTAAAAAAAAAAAACGAAACCCAAATGTCAGGACTTAGTGAAGTTCTGCATGTAGCACTTTCAAAATCTAGGATATGAAAGCCCAATGCTGAAAGAACACTTACCTTTTTGTGATCCGTGGACAGAACTTTAAAACGGTGGTTGTGTTTAAAATTCTGTAACTTGAAAAGTACGTGAGTGATTTCGATGATTCTTGTACTAAAAGAAAGCTTATGAATTGGGCTTTCATATCCTAGATTTTGAAGGTGCTACATGCAGAACTTCACTAAAACAATAGTCCTGACATTTGGGTTTTGTTTTTTTTACTCGCCCTGTATTTGATGTCTTGTATTTCATAAGTGGATGTTCTATCTCCATTGTATGTGAGTATACATGTATGTACACATATTGTTGCAGTCATTTTCTTTTTCCCGTTAGTCATTTTGATTATTATTTTGGGTTTTTTGGGGGTTATTTTAAAAGAAGCTTTTTTATTGTCAGGTGCATTTTGTGGGGGAATAGAGCACAATATAAAGTCACTTGCACTTTGTACAAAGTGATCTCTATCCATACTTATTTACAGTACATCGAATTTGCACAATGCATGTATAATAACTAAGTGAATGATCTGTTGAAGTTCCACAGGCATTAATCTAAAGGTATGTCATCATTAATACACTTGTTCATTTTCAGAGGTGCCCAAGAAAAAGGAACCGGAGAAACCGTGGAAAAAGCCGGAAGTTGAGAAACCAAAGGAAGCAGGCAAGGGTCCCCAAACATTGCATCGTGGGCACTGCATCTTGTGAAACAGATAAAAACCATGTCAAATTTAATGAAAGCAACGTTAATCTGACATTTTATTTTACAGATTCTGTGTATGAAATTCCCATGCTAGTTAAAAGTAAATCTGCTGGATTAGTAAAAATAAAAACAATGCTCATCTTGTGTTTCATTTTACAGATGCTGCTGAATAAAAAAAAAAATCATGCACAAATATGCTGTCTGTAATTTTTTTCTTCCTTTTTGTTTTGCTTTTTATTTTTCCTTTAAGGGGAATGGAATGTATTGGTGCTCTATGATTTATCATAAAACAAAATGTGAGCTAACATGACATAACCTGCCATTTATTATATTTTAAGTTTTTTTAAATTTTATTTTCTACAATCTGTCGTCTGAATGCTGGCACGTCTTGTGGTGTCTCTCAGTATGTTACCGGTACCTCATTTTGTATGTCATTATTTGGATGTTCTGTCCCATCATATGTATTGACATGCTTGTACTTTGCTATTTATGTCTGTGCTTGTCATGTCTAGTCTATGGAATATCCCCTTGCACAGCAAGCGTAATTTTTATTCCTAGGAGGGTTAGGGGCAATGTCATGAATAATTCATGTTTATCCATGAGAACGGACAATGACATCAACAGCATTGTTGTTAGTTACTCAACTAGTTACAATACATTAAAGCATTTTAAAGAACGGTTGTCGTCGAGCTACCACACAGTAGCCTAGTGGATAGCGAGATGAGCTATGGATACAAAGATCCCTGGTTCGAATCCACGTCGTCGCTGCTCATTTTCATCAGCTGTTTTTTTTTCTCCAAATTTATCACTGAGATAATTTTAAATTAAGGGGAAAATAGAACGAGAACCTAAGTCTTGCAATGATTCAAAGGAAACACTGAATTATTCATGACATTGCCCCTAACCCTCCTAGGAAAAAAAAATTACGCGCACAGCAAGGGTCTATGATATGAGAGCAGCTTCGGCGATTAATTATGCAAAACAAGACTGCGTCTTGACCTCGAGATTCTGACTGTTCAGCGGGCGCCTTCTTCATCAGGTCTTCCGTAACCTGTTTTTGTATTATAAAAACATGGCATCCAAATTGACCAATCCACAGCTTAGTCCACATTACTGATGGAAAGAACATCACAGTATTGAAAAACCACTCCAATTGGCTGGCATGCGGGGTCGCATAAAATTTACATGCTATGATACATGTATATCAGACGTTCAACCATGGTCTGCCAACATAAATGTCTGATCCTTTTACTAGTCATGCTCTTGATCCTTTCTTTGTTTTGTTTTGTTTTGGTAAATATTAATACATGTAAACCTTTTGCAAATTGCATCAAGTAATTCACAATTGCACCTTCTAACTGTTAGCTGTAACCATATTAATTAGCATTAATCTACATGTAATTTGCATAATAACTTACTGAATGCTCTGTTTTAGTTCTGTAGGCCTAAACCTAACGTTGTGTCATCGTTAATAAACTTGTTCGTTTTCAGAGGTGCCCAAGAAAAAGGAACCGGAGAAACCGTGGAAAAAGCCGGAAGTTGAGAAACCAAAGGAAGCAGGCAAGGGTCTACAGACATTGCATCGTGCGCACCACATTATTTGAAACTGATCAGTCAAAATGAAAACAACACTAACTTTTGTAATTCATTTTACAGATGCTGAAAAAACATATGCACAAGTATGCTGTTTGTGTTTTTTCCATTTCCATTTTTTTTTGTGGGGGAGAGTATTTTGTGCTATAATTTATTTCCTTTTATTTTTTACATGTGAGCTCGCTTGACAAAACCGGCCATTTTTTAATTTCTTTTTTATTATTATTTTTTTATTTTATTTTATTGTCAACATTCTTACAGTCTTCTGAATGATGGCATATCATTTTACTGAATGTATTTCTGTACTGTTTGTCAGCTCATTTAGTTTATTATAAATTTATGTTTATTTATTATGTTCTGTCCGGCTTTATACAAGACATGCTTGTAAATATTTCTTGTGTGTCTGGTCTTTGCAGATCTTGAAATGCACAGCATGTTTTTTGGGAGTAAATACGTGTATAAATATAGCCCTTGCCAGTTACATTTTTTTCAAAACCAACTAACAGTTGCACTTTGTAAAAGTTAGCTGTAAACATATTTATTTAAAGAAAGTCTAATTTGCATAACATACACAAACTAACTAACCTGATGCTCTTTTTTCGTTCTACAGGTTTATCCAACATTTTGTCGTCATTAATTAAAACTCAATTCATTTTCAGAAGTGCCAAAGAAAAAGGAACCAGAAAAACCGTCCAAAAAACCAGAAGTTGAGAAACCAACTGAAGCAGGCAAGGCCGCTACAAACATTGCATCATATGCACGGCATTATTTGCCCACAAAAAAATAATAATAATTAAAAAATGAAAATAACATTTTTGCATTAATTTAGAAGTTGGCATAGACGACATTTTAGTTTGAACTGCAAGCAAGAAAATGATGCAGTAACGTTTCTCATGCAAATGTTTTATTTTAAAGCATGGCCATTTACGTTTGAGTATAAAAGTATACATTTATTTTCATGACAAGGTACAGCACGCGGACAGCAAAAAATGCACAGTAACGTATGCCACACTTGCATGACGGCAAAAGTGAAGCATTTATTTCAGCAAGCATATGAATGAATGATTTTATTTTTATGTTTTAGGAAGGTATAAAGGTAAGCATATAGATAGCAAATGATTGTTAAAATTAGTTATAATGGTTGTAACAAGCATTTGTTTTTCAGCTGGAATATGCAGGTACTCCACTTCGGGAAAATGTGCACTGCATGACTGCACACATTTAAAAGAAATGTGCAAACTGCTGCATCTGAAAATATATAAGACTTTTTGTTTATAACTATTACTACAACTACAACTATAACGCTGATCATCGTTTATCATTGAGGATGTAACTATAATTTCTCAAAGCATGACTTTTCATTTGTAAGCACGGCAAAGAAGCTTTTGGCAGCACAATGCCAATTTAACTTACCGCTACCCTAAAGTCTCTAGCAGCTTTTTGATGAAATTTTTTTATATTCAAGGAAACAGACCAGACCACATTTTAATCAATTTTTGATGGGAAACAGAAACAAATTACGTAGGGTTTAAAACTGCGGCATCTAGAATACAAGAACAGTTTTGTGTTAATATAATATAAACTCATAATTGTGTTTTCCGGCTTCTGACCAATGCCCCTGAACAAGTACTTTGCCAGATTATGGGGTTAGATTGTTCTTTTGATAGAAATAGGGGTCATGAAAATGCAGAGGTCGGAATCTGAAATCCTCTTTCAGTCAAGGTTTTTTTTTTTCAACAGAAAAATGGCTGTAAGTATTTATTCCTTATTTCCCAAAGCGAGGAATCAGTTGGGTTTTTTTTTGTCCCTTTTGAAAGAAAGAAAGAAATTTTAAAAAGGAGGAAAGAAAGAAATTTAAAAAAAAGTTTTAAGTCTGAAAATAAGTCCATCCAAGAACAGCGGCATTATGGGTAGCCTTCCGACTCGAACAGATTCACTCATTTCGGAAGGGTTACGTCATTTTCTCTTCAGAGACCCCGTCCAAGAAGAAGGCTCCGAAGAAGGACGAAGAGGCCCCGCCCGAGAAGAAACCCCGCCCCGGCGACAAGCCCAAGCCCGCCCCCGCAGAGGAAGCTGTTACACCAATGGAGCAAACCCCCGCGGAATCGGCCCCTGCTCCTGTAGAGAAGGCTGTTACGCCAATGGAGCAAACCCCTGCAAAATCGGCCCCTGGTCCAGTAGAGGAGGCTGTTACGCCAATGGAGCAAACCCCTGCAAAATCAGCCCCTGCTCCAGTAGAGGAGGCTGTTACGCCAATGGAGCAGACCCCTGCTGAATCCACACCACTTCCAGTGGAGATTGAGATCACCCCAGAGGGAGGGATCGTGGCTCAACAGGCGCCGGAGGAACAGGCGGCTGTTCCCAAACAGCGTCGGATGTCGGCGACCGATTACCTGGGTATGTCAATTTTGAAAGTTTATCATCTCTTTAAATTAAGTTGGCAAAGTTTTAAACGCTTCAGTGTAAATAAACAGAACAAATTCAAACAGAATTGAGCAAACGACATCAGTATATTATAAAAAAAATCCCAATAATTATGACATGCATTGTCAAGTTACAGATGCAACAATCTTAGTTTACATATATATATATATTAATTTTAAAAACACTTGCCCTCATTTCACTTGAAGTATTTTTCCAGAGTCATTACATTCATACTATATTTTTTCCATTTTTTTACACTTTCAAAAGATGATATTTAACAATTTGGCTGATCAAACAGTTAGTTTCCACAAAGACATTACAGCACTCTTTCTCTGCATTCAACCTAAAATGTTTAACCGCCAACCTGTCTGCTGCCCTCATGTGACAATTAGATGAAGAGTCCGCCCCGGAATCTGCACCCAAGAAAGGAGAGAGCGCCCCCGACGAAGGTGAATGCTTGCCCCGCTGGTGTGACTGCCGTGAAGCCAACGTCCAACTTGATATTTATTTTTTTTCCACTTTCCCTTTTGCCGTGGCAGTCTCTGTCCCCCACCCCCTTGACACAAACACACCCACACACCCACACAGACGTGCAAGCAGGTTTGTTTATGGAGTAAATTGAGGATTTTCTGTTGTTCCTCATCATCGATCTTTGCAACAGCTCTCATTGTTCCTTTAATAAATTTTCTAATCGAGGTCGTCCTCGAATTGACTCATGTCCTCAAATTACTCGATGAAGCTTCACAAGTGTGTCCTCGATTTACACCATAAACATGCACACACGAATAAGCGAGAATTGCATGCTACTGTTTATATTCGTGTCTGGGTTTGGAAGATTTGGGGCTACCAAAATAACAAAAAAACAGAATATACAATTGACAATGACATAATTTTGAGTGGGTTTGTTTTTTTCCTTTGCTAATATTGTTTTATTTTTTTATTTGGCATCTAGTTTAAAGTACTGAGAAAAAAAGTTAGACGCTCCCCAAAATAAATTTAAGCAGGATTGGAACCTGCAGCCCCCAGAAATGGTGTTTCTTGCACTTCAGCAATCTAGCTAAATAGTTAATATTTAATTATTCTTTGCTTCTTTTGCTGATTTTCAGAGCATCAAGAAAAAAAGGATTGAACTGAAACAAAATAAAATAACTTGAAAAGAAAGAAATTTAAGTCGTTTTTTTTTTGCCGTTGCAAAATAAGCTCCTCAAATCTTGTAAACCCAGGCAAGAAGAAGCCCGTCATTACCCCAAAACTCCACTGATAATATTGACCTTGCTGTGTGGTACATTTGTAATTTTGTCACTTGTTCCAGAAATTTTGTTTTGCAGATTATTTTGTATCCAGACTAGCTGCTGTTAACTGAAGTTCCCTGTCTGTTTTAACCAGTTTGTGCCGGGATTATTTTGACCAGAACGGAACGAGGCGCGGGATTATTTTTCACTCGACCTCAAGCCAGGCGGGTTGAAGCCATCACTCTCGGGCAGCACACTCATATTTCCGGCCTCGCTCGCTGTGAGCGGGTCACTGACAGATATTTCCGGCCTCGCTCCCTGCGTGTTTATCCGTCATCCGTTCCGAATACCACAAAACCTTTGCATGTATACATACAAGTCATCCGGCGTGAACTGTTAAGTCAGTGATGCGGAAAATTAAGGAAGTGTCAAAATAAAATAATTTTGGTCAGAAAAAAAAAATACAAATTATGCCAAATCAATGGAAACAGTTTGACATTACGGTAATCATTTATCTCAGTGAGTTAAATCTTTGATAATATTGACACTGGAAATTTTACATGTATTGTAAATTTAAAGTTGGCAGTTTTTAAAAAAAAAATGTTCGAGTACTAATCTTATTCTCCAAAAAATATCTGGCTCTTTTTTGTGTGTGTAGTACATGTAGATAAAATGTATTACATGTATATGTTGTGTTGTATTTCATCGTATTGTGGTAAATTTAATCTTGTGTTAAAGGGAAAATACAACATTTGCAAACATCAAAAAATAAAACTATCAAATCATTTTGAAATACCTTGCTGGACTGTTAGTGAATGACAGTGTAAAGCATCCTGTAAAATCATGGCACCTGGTATACTGTCATTTTCAAGAAAAGTACTATTTTTGTATCAATTTCCAACGCTGGTCGGCCGACCAACGTTGGAAAAAACTGGCTTTTTTTCAAATACTGGCCCCAATTGACCATCGCACTTGTTTGCAATCAATTACACACCTATGAACGGGTACAAGCCAGCTAGACTGGTTCCCTGACCTTACAATTCCCCAATGTATGTAAACTGCTCTGTTTCTTCTTATATGGAGTAAGGGAACCAGACTACAGGAAAATGATTGTTTTTCTTGGTTTTTATAGCATTTTCGAACCCAAAACCTCAAAAAAGTCAGTGTAACTATATTTGCTATATATTTCCAACCCCCCAATTCCATCCATTTCTGAAAATTACAGCAAAAGCAAATGATGTATATTCCCTTTAAAACTCGTCGCTAGAATTTAACAATGTGAACCCTGGCAACAGTGTGAGATATGAAACGTGTCCAGGAACCATTGGAAATTCAGTATCCCTTCACAACCTCACTTGAAAAGTTATAACTAACAGTTTTTGGCAGTGTTTTCTACTTTGCAACTTCATGCATAAAAACTAAGGCTTAAGTTTTTAAGCTTAGACTGTTGAATATATTCAAACTTTCAAAGTAAAAATTTGTCAGAAAAAAAGTCAGAAAATAATCATTTAGTTGTCTCCCTGTACTTGTTAAAACTTTTTTTTAAGTTGGTGGGCTGACAGCTTGGTCAAATTTAACTTGGAGATTATCGCCGTTGATTAAACTTACCTGCATGCTTAAAAGCCTCCTTAATTAAATGTTGAATATTTTTTGTTTTTGTGATTATCAAATTCACTTAGTTCATACCACAGAAATGCTTCATAAATTCAAACACTTTATGGAGACACATTAGTTCAGTGGTTTGCATGCTCTAACCTTTTTCTTAAAATTGTGACTCTTGGCTGAACAAACTTTTAGGTACACTGTATATCCCTTCTAAAGATATTTAATTTGCAAAATGTAAGGCATTCCACAAACCATTTACACCGGTGTAGATATGCTGTTTCAGTTGCAAATTTGCATGCCTTGAATTGTGATTTTTGGCAGAACCAAATACTTTTGGGGAAAAAAAACACTGGGGGGGGGGGGTAAAACTACAACAATATGACTCATTACAAGGCGAAAAAATGAAGAACTTTAACATATAAATCAAAAATTTGCATGTATTATTTTGACTTTTCTCCAACGCTATCAATTTATTAATATTCCAATTTCAATAATTATTTCAATTCCAGTTAAGTTGACCAGGCATATGAAAGTGTGTTCCGTAGCTAACGCATTCACTTTTAAAATCCACTTTGCCTGTTCGTTAAACTAAGTTTTGTATATTTGTGTCGGGTCAGGGTTCAGAAAGACTGGTCAGTCGGTCAAGCCGGCTGAGACCAAGCCCACGGCTCCCCCACCGGCCGTCAAGATGAAGGAGGAAGGCGGGCCACCCTCTTTCATTGAGTCGCCCTGCAAGGTCCAAGTCATTGAAGGTTGGTGACAACACATCCAATTATAGGCCTATATCGTATTTTTTTGCTGCGTTTGTCTGTTTTGTTTTAGTGCCGGCGCCTAGTGCCATCGCCTGAGTAACAGTTTTCGGAACAGCTCTTTTGTTTCCACCAATGCGCTTGTGCTGCTATTTTGCACATTAAGTCACGCCCTGCAGTGTTGTGCATCGGGTTGGGTTGACCAGGCTAAACCGACCCGAAACATTATAGATATAAACCGAATCTGAACCGAAACCGGGCGCAGTGACTGCACTAGATATTGCACCGTGTGAATCTCTGAACTGTTTTTTTTATTTCAGTTTATTTTGGGTTTTCCAAAAATGGCTTATCCGACCTGACCCAAAAGTCACAAACACAAAACCGACCCGACCTGGGTAAAATTATGGACAACCTTCCCGACCTGACCCGAAGTCGGTTTTGGGTTGTGTCGGTTTCGGGTCGGGTCGGGTTTGCACAACACTAACTCCTTGTTGCAATGCAAAATTCCCAAGACGTTCTTTGCGTGTGGTTCGTTGACCAAGTGGTTCGTGAATGGGAACATGCACGCTGCTCGGAAGTACCTTCTATTGCGAACTACCCCGCTAAGAGCGTCTTGTATCAAGACTAGTTCTGTTATTTAAATTCAGTGATAAAGTTCAAAGTGTTTACTCATAGTTTTCCGAGAGGAACAAAGTACCCAAGTCAATCAAAAGTCGGTCACTGATCGTCCAGTCTTGTAAGTCAAGTTCAAGCTGATGAAATGAACTGCGGCAGAGGCATTCCTTTGATACTTGTGTGAATGAATGGATGACTTGTGATGACCGTACAGCAACTCGGCTCAGCAAAAAATTTTGCTCAGAAAATTTTGACTTGGCAAAAATTAGCAATGAACTAGTCATAGTCCATTTACATCTGTGACAGTTTGATTGCTCCTTCTCCTATGTGCAACAGTTCTGTGGAATTGCTTTCAACTGTGTTGACATGAAGCTTTAGTTTCCTTTTCTTTCCATTTTTTCCCCCATAAAACTAATCAGTCCATGTCTTTGACCTTTGACCTTTTTGACCCATAGGTCAGTCAGTGAAGTTTGAGGCTGTGGTGGAAGGCAAACCGAAGCCCACGGTCACATGGTACAAAGGCAGCACGAAGATTGACGATGGCTACAAGAATCGCTACGCTGTAAGTGTATGTGGGGATCGGTCCGGCCGGCTTGCAGTGTCTGCAGTGATTGTGTCCTTGGGCAAGACACTTTGTCGTAATTTTGCTTCCCCCTTCTCAAGAGCATATTGGGTGCTTCTGATTGAAGAAAGTTGAATGTCTTGTTTGTATTAGCTATTTGCGCCAAAATGGCAACAATGAACTCTGTACTGTTGAGGTATTGGGGAAAGTTTTGGGATACTTTCATAGGCCCAATGGGCGGGGGTATCAATGCTGTAGGACTATGAGCACCAAAAGTGTTGGATACATACATTATGTCTACATTGACATTATCATTCCCCTTTCCAAAAAAAAGGAAAAAAATTGCTGGACCTGTGGGGCTGCGTATCTCACTGTTTATCTCAAAGCCTCCTGCTGTCCGACCAGTCACAGACAGTCAAAGTTCAATCCTCTTCCCTGCCATGCCTTTTCCACAGGCTAGTCACCAACAGTCAGATCATATTTCAAGCAAGCACTGTGACTAGTCAAATTCAGTCAACAGACAAAAGCAGGCAAGAAGTGGGCACAGCTGGCTTATCAATCACCTACAGTCAAAGCATAGCTGTATCGAGTTACATAAACAGTCCCAGCCAGTCAATCCTGCTTTATGTAGGCTGGGAGCTCTTAACAGTTGAAAACAGTCACTTGCTTGATTTTGACTGAAAGGACAACTTGGCACTGATTGTACATTTGCATAGGAGGTTAATATCAAAGTTACATGTAGATGCTAAAGTCATGCACGGTACTAGTTAAAGCTATAGTCCATCATTTGTAATTAGTGCATTTTGTTCGTTTGAAGCAACAAAAGTGTTCAAAATCTAATGAAGGATACTGAGCAACTAACCTGATGAAGTTTCAGCTAAGCTTCAGCTGTACATTCCGAGAAAAGCAGCATTCTAAGATCTCAATTTCAAATCAAAAGTTACTGAATCATGTTTTGAATTGTTTTGAATTGCAGCTGTACGCGGCGTCGCGCACTGATCCGACGAATTATAACAACCGCGCGCGCGTGTGCGTCGTTCCAATACTTGTGCGCGCTGTGCTGAATAACAAAACGAACTACTAATTTAAATTTTCCTACGGTGCTTCTTAAGAATCACCGTTGGAAATGCCTTCTTTCGTTGATTACTTCAAAATGACAGCTTCCCAGAAAGAATAATTTCACAGGGAGTTTAGTCCCCTTACTATCTTTCAACCAAGTTTGTTTTTCAACAGTAATTACGCCAGTTACTTTTCGGATGGCTGCAAATGATGGACTATAGCTTTAAAAAAGACTTAGATTTCTGTTTAAAATCAGAGAGCTTTTCATCTCCAACTTGAAAACTGTCAAGGACTAGTGACCCAGTTGTCCATCTTATTTCCTCTAAACCAAATTTAATTCTCCCTCCTCGATTTATCTCTTTTGTCAGGTCAAGTTCTTGGAGAAGCAGGACGTCCACGTCTTGGAAGTCAAGAAGTCGGAGATGACCGACACGGGGAAGTTCAGCTGCATCGTGGAGAACGACCATGGCAAAGACGAGCGCGTCTTCTCAATGATGGTCAACAGTAAGTATCGGTGTCTTTTGAAGCCGTCCAAGGTTTAAAAGTTCTGTCAAACAACATGAGGCTTGCGCCAGTATCACGGAGCTTAATTTGCCTAGCACAGAAAAATAGTTGCTTGACCAGAAATTGTAAACAGTTTATGTTATTTGTACATACCTTGAACAAACATACCTTGAAGGCCACAGCTCCAACTTCACGTCATGTAGAAGAAAAGTGTGGCAGGGTTAAGCAGGCTTCATTTGCCCATTAAAAACCCAAGTTACTTAAATTCTGCTTGAAGCAGAGACGTGTGGGCGCTTGGATGGCACTCTCAGGCAATTCGTTTCAGCTATCCACTACCCTCTGGCTGTAGAAGGGCTTTCTGACATCAAGTTTTGGTCTGGATTTGGCTAGTTTCTGTGAATGTCGTCTGGTACCCAGCTTTCTTAGACACTGAGTCTGGATTGATCCTGTCGATTTGAGTCATGATTTTGTAGGTTTGGATGAGATCCCCCCTTTTCCTTCTTGTTTCTAGTGTGGTCAGTTGCAGATTGTTTAATCTCTCATCATAAGACAGGGACTTTGTGACTCATTTTCAGCTGGGTTCTGGTCGGCAAAAACAATTTACTAAGCAGGTTTCTGCTTGAGAGTAGCTGCCTGCAGTTGCCAAAGGCCTAACTGATGGTTATACTCCTCCTGAAAGAATTTGTCTTTCTTAAAAAAAGTGTGTCTTGAGTGTAAATTAAGTGGCAAAAATGGAGACTAAAGGGCCTTTCACGCTATCAAGGCCCGTCGCCAGGGGGGGGGGGGGCTGGTGGGGCCGGCACCCCCTTGGCAAGCACTTACCCCCCAACTGCAAAAGCCATACATATGTGTTTTTGTATTCTTTATGGTAGTGGGCCTCCTAGTTGGTACTATGCCCCCCCCCCCCCCAGGGCATTGTTCGCTCTTGTTTTGATGAAATTATATCGCAAAAAAAAAACCCAGTGCATTACAAAACTGTTATTGGGCACATTTGCTGAAGAAAAAGTAAATTGTTCCAATTCCAAATGAAAATCGAAAAAATTCACTTTTGTTTTTGCCATTTTTTCCCCAACAGGTCTTTGACTTAAGTGTTACTTAATTCAGGGTGCTGTTTGATTTCTTTTTATATATCCCTGTTCAGCAAATTTTGGTTTTAGAAAAGACTTGTACAGTGGAACGCCGCTATAACAAACAATAGCGATCATTCGTTATAAGCGATTTTAAGCTGTCTGTGCTCCGGTACTCACTTTTCAATAAATAGCGCCCTTTAGAACTTCACCCTGCATGCCCTGGTAGTTACTGAAAGACGACTTTGAACACGTGCTGACTATTGAATTATGTAATTACACAGTTTTTGAGCTTACTACCTACAGCAGTGGGTGGCTTTCCCCTTCTATTCCTTGGGGAAATAATAGCCACTTGTCGCTCTTCTGTTGACATTTTTCAACAACGTTCGGTACGTTTTGTACACAAAAATCGGAAGCCAAGCACGGTGTTCGGTATCGCCGAATGTTTGGCATAGTGATGTTCGGTACAGCGACGTTCCACTGTATTTCAAAAATGATGTCTTTGCATTCAATCTGATTCATTAGAACGTTGTCAAATTGGAGAACCTTTCAGGCGCCCCCCTTCAAAATGATGCGAGAACCAATCAACACGAGAACCGCAAATCAAACAGCACTCTTTGAAAATGCTTACATTGTAACGTTGACACTTTCTGCACCGATAGAATACAGTGTCCACTGCACACAGCTGTCTCGGCTAATAAAGATGTTAAAATAGATCGTAGTTCAAAATCAATTTAGTCGCTGACTGTTTTGAGAGTGGCAGTTAATCATTGACAAATGTTGTCTCTGGCTGTTTTTTCTTCTTCTTTTTTCGAATTTTGGCTTCACAAAATGAAAAAATTAATAATAGTAATTTTGTTGCGTTGGCTACAGAAGTGCTTCTGAGCTTTATTATAATCGTCTAATTGAGTGTAGAAAACTAAATTTCGAATGAAACAGTGTTGATGATTAATTATTAATTATTAAATAAACATGCAAAGTTAAAAATGATATTAATATTATAACTTTTAGTCCGCCGCTACGTTTCGTTCTTTTTTTAAGTGCATGATATTTTGGTCCCCACACCAGTGTTTGTTTATTAATTATGCACAGACTTCCAGGACTATTCCTTCTCCCCTTCCTTCACACGCGCTCGGCACACACGGTTTCCCACAATGCACTTTGATTTTTTTTTGCACAGCTAGATCTTACCGAACCGGGGCTCAGTTTTACAGTAGGGTTCCTGTTGTGGAAATCTGGGGGTAAAAGTTGATCCGGAAACACCAACTCCGGGACGAGTCACGGAAAATGTTTGGGGAAAAAAATTGGAAAATTCCCAAGGAAAAAATATGGCAATATCTGGAGGTTTTATTTCCAGGAATTTTTCAGGATTCCCTACAGGAGCTCTTTTCCGTGACTGCATGTGGAAAACTCACCATTTATCATGGAAAAATTCCTTGACACTTCCCAGTGTTTTCCGTGACAAACATGGAAATTGATCCAAGGAATCATGGAATTATGGATCATAGAATTCCAGAAATCAGTGACTCAAAAATGTGTCGTCCGTTTTTCCATGACTATCCAAAAAAAATAAATAGATTCCATGTTTTATCATGGAAAACTTTTGGGAAAAATCGCGGAAGTCTTTTCTCCCAGACGACTTGCAGGAACCCGTTTACAAGATTCACTAATAAGCACCAAGTTTAACTTTTGCTTCGCAAAACAAAGCACAGCTTACAGCGAGATAACAAATTCCCAAAACTCATTAGCCGCAGAAGCAAAACTTGTAAATTCTGTAAAACTGAGGCCCGTGTCAATTCACTGAAAACTGTCGTCAAATTTTCCCCGTGGAAAAAAACAGAGAACCCGGAGGCAGTGGAGCCGGAAGAAACTCCAGAAGAAGGTGTGCCATTAAGTATTCAAATTGGAAAAATCGGAAAACGTACATGTAGCAGCATTTTTTTGAAAAATAGAAATTCAGTTACAATTAGTATGGGCTCCGTGCACAAGTACCCCCTCAACGGTAAGAAAGGGAGAGTTAGGGGAGACCACTGGGAGAGACATTGGAACGCATTGCTAACGACTCCCGAAGCTCACGCGAAGACACTATTAATTATCCCGCGAGCGCGAGTGGAACTCGGAATAATGTAATGCGTCTACATTTTATTTATCTTCGAGCAAACTTGACGCACAGTAAAGATGGAACACGCACGCGGTGCACAAAATTGTCAGTGGTCATTCTATAGGTCTCGTTCAAATGACGTCATTTCCTACAGACCATCCCCGTGCATCGGTATTTTGAGTGTCAACTTGCACAACGGCTACGTCGTATTTCGAACACATTTCGAGCAGCAAGCGCGCATGTTTGGAACACTTTCAACACTGCGCAATGCGTGTTTGATTGCGTAAAATACGCAGTTGCAGTTCTCCTACAGAAATGGCCGTCATTGAATGAGCCCTGTTATAAGTGTGGCAAAAGGAACGGTGCGCGCATCTTAAGAATATCACACTGTTGTTGCCATGGATCGCCCAATCAGGATCAGAAATGTACATCTTGGAATAGTGCAATTCGCAGAGTGCGCTACGGACCTTGCAATCAGGTATAATATTACGCTGTTGTTGCCATGGATCGCCCAATCAGGATCAAAGATTCAAGTTTGCTTGAAGATGATACGGGTTTGGGCGCATTCAGAATCGTGCGTACTTTGCCCAATACGCGCATGAGCCAGTACGTGCATGCGGTGTGTCCTGCCCAATTGGGACTCTCGAAAGTGGTCAAAAACGCCATCTATTGCTTGTGCACGGAGTTCATACATTGTTTTCCATTCTTGTGCGTACTTTGGGCCAAGATACTGATAATTAGAAGGATCTTTTTTATCGTATAATTCCTGGTAGACGAGGTAACAGAGAAAGGATAATTTTGGGTTTTGACTTTACATGGACTCATTATTTATTGTTAAGATTTGTGTTGAACTGAAACTGGAATGGGTAAAAATTTCAGACCATTTCTCATGATATTTTGATCGGTTAGTGATCTTTGATATTTTTCTTTTCTTTTTTGTCCCCTTTTTTTGTTTCGGACAATCTTAAACACTGGAAGCAGCCATTCTATAAATGTATAAGTAGCCCCTTTTTGACCATACAATATTCAAGAGAATATTGGATAAAAGATAAGAAAACAAATTTCTAACTTTTCGTTGTTTGTTAATTTTTCCTACCACCAGAAAAGCCAGAAGCTGATGCGTTGGATTTCCGTCAGTTCCTGAGACACAGGTATCTCAGAAAAAAAATGTTTCATTTGATTATTCCAATTTGTACTTGCCTCAAGTAATTTGATCGAATATTTGAATTTTTTCGAAATGCGCTAATCCAGTTAAATTTGCTGCCGTTCGGGTTTATGTGCAGCTGTGTTTGTCTCCTTGAAACCGCTAAAAACTTTTTTTCGAATATTTGAATAAAAAAATATGACACGTGTGATCTTTTTGAGCATGTTGTGAGCATGCGCAGTGAGGATAATAACCCTCTGGTGTGGTACCCTTTTCAGGGAGGTGGAACGGCGTGAGTCTAAGGTTGAGGTACCAGACTGGGGCACCCTCAAGGACACTGATGTACCCGACAAAGTGGTAAGAATGAGAGGCAATTTTAACACATACTAGTGGCTTGTTTGTTTGTTTCCATAATTGTCAAATTAAAACAGGTTCATATGCTCATGAATGCAAACGCAAAAAGGAACTCTAGCCATAACCTCATGAAACATTTTCAGCTAAATTTGCTGGATTTGAAACTCGATCAACTTTTTGCAAATGATTATCTTAAATGTTTGTCATGCTAATAGAAATTTTGAGTTCGCATGCGCTTTCGCGCCGAGTGTGAACTGGACTAAAAGGCATAATAAGATCATTTGCATTTATCCCAAAAGTAACCTACCAAATTATTCCAAAAATGCTTACTTGGATTAAGATTGTGTGGTACTAAACACCCAGTGAAATTCTTCCATCTGGCTTGCTGTCATTTAGAAGAAATCAAGAAATGTAGGTGATTGCCAACAATCAGTCAATAGACGGATTTTTGGAAATAAAGAGTGCCATGGACAAAATCGTGTTTTGTGATCAAAAAGGTTGGGCATACTTTTTCACTGTTTTCTCGACAAGCGTATTAATATCCACTGAGCTGAAACTTCAACAGGTTAGGTTTTGAACACAATTTTGAGTGGTGTTATTATTGGGAACTGCCAAATGCATGAAAAGCAAATGATCCTATATGCCTTTGAGAATACCAAACTGGTTCATCGAAAGTCGTAATTCAACGTTCCACCAGGGCGCAGAGGTGACACGTCCCCTAAGATCGACCCGTGCCAACGAGCGCGACGGCCGGCTGACCCTCGAAGTTGGCTGTAAGGCCAACGGTGTCAAGCCCACCTGGCATAAGAACGGCCAGGAACTAACGGCCAGCAAGAAGTACAAGATCAAGAGTACGATCAACGACTACGAGCTGACCATCACCGACCTAAAGGTGGCGGACAGCGGTGACTACACGGTCAAGTTTGGCGACTTTGCCGAGTCCAAGTGCAACGTGGTCATCGATGGTGAGTCCGCGTGGTTCAGATTCAGGGCTTTTTAAGGATTTTTAATTCTTCAAAAGAACATCGCTGAATATGCAACGCTGCTTTTAAAATGGATTTTTCTTTTCAAATATGAACAGATGTTCACTGAAAAGTACTGAACAAATGTCGGAAATTCCTTTTCTGTATATTTGCTGCGTAAGCAGTTTTTGCTATGGGCTCTGCGCACCAACAAAAGAGGGCGCGTTTTTGCCACTTTTGAGAGCCCGTAGACGGGACGCACAGCGTGTGCGCACTGTTCTGTGCTGGTTTGCGCGCGAAGTACGCACGACTTCCCGAATGTGTCAAAGCTAGTCACAGCGTCTTGCGTGAACGTCAGGCGTCGTCGGCGCGCAAAAACATGGTCTCCCAGACAAATCCCTGCCTCCAGTAACTTTGGATCATTCAAAAGACGCAGTGGATGGACCGGGAACCAGTTTAGGTGGCCCCCAAACTCTCCTTTTCTGGCCGTTGAAGGAGTACTTGTGCACGGAGCCCGTAATGAGCATCATTTGGAGTGATTCAAACCAATGCGTAGATACCACTTCCCAAAGAATGTTAAATGCAAGTTAACAAAGTTTGCATACAGAGACTAGTTATGAGCAAGAAGAAACTTATTCATGCTTCCAAGGGCCGATCCAGGGGGGTTGAGGCTTTGCCGGGGGGAGGGCTCTCACACTTGAGAAAAGTTCTGTCACTGCCCCAGGGGCGGGCACCCCCTCCGCACCCACTGGATTCGCCAATGTCCCCAGACAAAACAGTCTAAACTTTACATCTTTTGGAATTTTCTTTTTCCTTTTTCGTTGAAGATTAATGCATATTTTATAATGCCATTAGAATTTTGAAAAAAGATTTACAACTAGCATGGCTCGATAAGCCTCTGTACTGATGATGTCACACTTTGTTTAGGTGTGCACTTTCCTATGGAGCCAGTGGGGCCCACGGTCCACTGAGCACCATAGGAAAGCACACACGTAAACAAAGTATGATGTCATCAGTACAGAGGCTTATTTTTTAATGGTGTTTAATAGCAAAGTTCCCCTGTGTGTGATGAAGTATCATTATTCTTGACTCCAGGAATGTTGGCGTTGTAATTTATCGCTAATCCTCGGTTGAAAAATCTAGCTTTGTAAATGAGCACATGCTTTTTAGTCAGTCAGCAGTACATGTACCTTTTATGCTTGTTCATTTTCCGTGCTTGGCAAGTATGCGTTTGTGCTTTTTAGCAGTTTTGAAAACGAGTGCACAATAAGCTCTGGCCGTCTTGCATGAAAGTCTTGCATGAAATGATTGTGCGTACAAGCCCGGGCCATCGTCCCACGCGAAAATCACGCTGCGCTATATACCACGTGACTATAACATTACTGCACATATCTTGCCTCCATTTACAAAATTTTCATAAACAACCTTACGAATTGTTACAAACACTTTTTGTTAATTATTTAATTTTTTTTTTTTTTTTTTTTTTTTGAAAATTAAAATTTGGTAGTTACAATTTATGGGAAACTTAAGGGGGGCTCGTTTTTGGTCAATTTTCCGGGGACAGACATATGCAAAATAGACGCGCATGTGCATCGATCAACACAAAGCCGGTCTTCCAAAATCTTTCGGCAAGAGTGCTTTTATATGACCACGGCATGGTGTTTGGTCAATTTCTGGTCAAATATTTTGGTCAACTTTCGGGGACAGATAGACGGACCCACTGACCGACCAACCGACTGACCACCAAGTGACACGTAGAAGCTCCTTATCACAGCTTTTTCTTCTTTTTTTGCTTCATTGTTAAGGCGTTACAAATTGTCTGCATTGCTTTGCTATTTTTCTCGCTTTTGTCCAATTGTTTTTTGTCTACCACACTATTTCCTTGTGCCTGGCTCCTCCCCTCCTCTGCTGTTTTCCCATTGGCTGATGCATCTACCCACAGTGCACCGTTGCCTAGCAACCATGTCCGACAGAGAAGTGACTACAATGGTTTCCAAGGGGATTTTACCTAAGGGTGGTATGGACTGTTCCATTTTATACCAAAAAAAAAAATTGAATAAATTCATGTCGCCATTTCATCTTTTCTCCCGTTTGCAGCTTGTCTGTTTCCCTTGCCGGTGATCATTAGCATGTGCTGCATGAATATGCATGGTGACTGATGAATATGCATATTGCATGATCAGTATGCAAATTTTCACGATGGATATGCAAATTGCATGGTAAATATGCAAAGTATTTGTCCCCATGCTTCAGACATATTCCAAACCTGTACGGTTCATTTCAGATTTCCATATCTGGCCATACATTATTCATCTTTCTCTGAACTTGTTTCAATGATGTCACATTTCTCGTTAAAGTTCCGTTTGAATTTCTGAGGCCATTTGTACATTCAATTTATTAAGGGAAGCAAGTATTTTCTATTTTCTCGCGAATTGATAGAAACTCCTGAAAAAGGGAAGGTTTCATTTTAAAACCTTGGAGTATATTTGTTCCTTTTATGATGGTTGAAGTTTTGAACATCAATTCAGTGAAGTTTGAATTGTCAACAACAACTCTTAGAAATTTAAAGTAATAAAGTTGAGTGTATCTGAGAATGGTACATAATTTATCGAAGTTTTACTTTAAAAAATTGTCCCCTTTGCAGTTTTATGTTTACGTTTCTCAAATTATGTTTCCGTATCTACATATTTTTTATCAGATCTTTGATTAGGATAAAATTTGATCTGTACAAGTGGCCTCTTTTTTTATCTTTATCTTTTTCATCCTTTTCTGATCCTCTCTATTTCTCGTCTCTTTTTCTTCCTTTTTCCTCATTCCGCTTCCCTATAATCCACCTAACTCAAAACATGACAAACCATTAATTATCGATACAGCCGCTCCTCCACGTAAGTATTTCACTCCGATCCAGAATTGGTCATGCAGTGGCCGTCTAGTACCTTGACCTCTAGGCCTGCGGTCATTATGAAGTCAGCTGTGACCTCATAGGTGCCAGAGAAAAAAACATGGCCGCCGGATGGTGCTTTTGAAATAAAACGATGATTTGCCCTTTTCACTTTTCCACTGATTGTTTTTCTTCATTTCACTTTTTAGCTTCAGCACTTTCACCACATTCACCTTTTCACAGTTTTAACTCTTTCAGTGCCTGCGAAATTTGAAAAGTTTAACCCTAAAGTGCCCAACTTCGAGCGTTTTTGTTAATTGTTCGAAATTCTGTAAAAAAAAAAAAAGGAAATAAGTTTTACTCACTAAATTTATTGTTGTTGCTCTCTGGTATATCCTTGATATATTGGAAAGTCAAAAGTAGTCACAAACATAGTGATACACCCTGAAACACTGGCCTGAACACAGGGGAATTCCGCACTTTTTGCAGAAAAAATACGAGATTTATTGCTGCGCCCTCTCGCAAGAACTCGAATGAAAAAATAAATACAGGTCGTACATGCATGAAAATGGTACCATTAGAAAGAGCAAGAGCGCCCCCTTGTGATAACATATTTACTCTACCTCGTACATGTACAAGGTTTGGCAATTTTAAGTACGAACATTACCTCGTACATGTACGAGGTTGGCGCTTTTGTATTAACAAATATACCTCGTTCATGTATGAGTTTGGCACTGAAAGAGTTAAGTGTGAAAGTTTGTTCCATTTTTTATTGGTCTCCCAATTTTCCCTGTCAAACACAAAAAAAGTGACTAATTTTCTTCATTTCTTTTTTTTTTTTTCGGAAAAGTAGATTATGTGAATTTTTAAAATGGCACTAACTTTCACATTATTCACTTTGTACCTGTTATTTTTCCCTTTTTTTTTTTTTTTTTATTCAAGAAAACCACCACCCCTGAAATTGTTGCAAGATGATTTTTCTGTTACTTTTTTTCACATTTTACTTGTTTCTGTTACATGAAGTGTCTGTGCACACAAGACTTCCTGTTTCCCTTTTCACACCAACTACACGTACATTTTGTGTTCTCCCCCAACTCTGGCACACCTTGTAATTTGCAGTGGCCATTGCACTTCACCACATACTAGTTGTTTAGAGATTCCCATTAATAAAACACTGTTATAGTGTCATATTTTAGCATTTCTCATAAATTTTACTTCCCACAAGTATTGAAACACAAAATTTCTTCATGTTCAATTTTTTTTTGGTAGACTGTTTCATCATCTAGAAGTCTAATCTTAAGTAAGCCACAAATTCTTCTATCTCCTGCCCCCCCCCAATAAAAAAGGGTAAACAAGAATAAGACGGAAAAACAGGAAGAAAATTACTGTGATGTTTCTGACAGATTAAGTTTTCAACAACAGTCAAGTAAATGTTTTCCATCAAAAGCCAACTCCAACCTGCGTTCTGTACAAAGTAATATTTGCCTTTTTTTTCTCTGTTTTGTTATTTTCCTGTATTTCTTTACTTTGTCATTTGGCTTTGCATCATTAAATAAAGAAAATTGTTGTTTCTAGCTTTGGGTTTAGCCATAAAAATAATACAATTTCTTTACCTACGTCCATCATCAACATACCAATCAAATTTGTGCCCTCACTCAGTCTATGCACATTTATATACCCCTGTCTTTTTATTTTTTCGTCCTAAACAGTCATAACCTGATCCAGCCAACTGGAAAATTCCCTAAGTACGAATATCTGTCTGACACAGTGAAATGGGAACCAGCTAATAGTTTCTCCACACACTTTTCTCAGTTTTAGCCGGTCCCCTGCCCAAGGTGCTAAGCAAGATATTCGTGCTTAGTCCATTCTTCAGATGGCAACGAACCCATGACATCACCATCAATAACTGTTTAGCATGTAGAGTGTCAACTAACAGAATAACGAAATTTCTTACCAAGGATCTGAAGCTAAAACGGCAGATTTGGGCTTTGTGATTATTTTTTTTCTATCCAGCGGGGAAACCGAAGGTGGACTTTGTGACGCTCCTGAAGCCCGTCGAAGTCCACGAGGGACAGGACGCGAGGTTCAGCTGCGAGCTGTCGGGCGACTGCATGGAACTCCAGTGGTACAAGGGCAACGACAAAGTGCCGCCACGCGACAAGAAATGTGAGGTCAAGCGACTGGGGCGGCGCCACACGCTGATTGTCAAGGACTGCAAGGCGGCCGACCAGAGCGAGATTGCCATCAGCGTCTTTGGGCGGTACAGCCGCGCCGATCTGACCGTCAAGTGTAAGGTTCTAATTTTTGTTGTGTACAGGGGCATATTCTAGACCAGAAACCAGAAATACGTTGATGACGTCAAAGTTACGACCAAAATGACAAACTAGAATCTAGACATTTTATTGGGTGGCTACTTGGAACAGACGACACTCGGTTGCATCCTTTAAAACATCATTTTCACCCCAAACCAGAAAAATCTGAAAAAAAAGTTCACCACTACTCATCCCACTTTCCATATTCTTTAAAAGAGTGCCCAATTTTAAGAAAATAAGTTCATTATTTTGGTGAAATGACCGAAAGTATCCTCTGTTTGCCTTAATTAAGTCATCTTGAATGCTTGACGAACCGGTCCGAAACCTCGTATCTTCGTGGATAGTTGTGTGCTGTCTTTACTTGTCTTTGTTTTCTTTTTGCCCCAGTAAAACAGGATTTATAACATCATATCGTCCCATTTGTTCCCCTTCTTCCATTGATATCAAATTGTTGTGTGGATTAAATATTAATTGGTTAAAGAATTCTGTTAAAGAGTTTCACTTATAGTGTTGCCCCCACATTGGAGGAATGAACACAGCAGATTAAATTAATTGAAGAAGGAATTCCTTTGAAAGGAGAAACATCACTTAAGTTTTTAGCCAAATTTCAATTTCATTTTTTGTTTCACGTTAACTTTCTTTGGCCCATCTCAGCCAAACCCAAGTTCGTTAAGGAGCTGTCACCGGTCACTGTGGTGGAGAGCAGGTCCTGCGCGCTGACCTGCGAGATCTCCGACTTCACCTCGGAGGTCAAGTGGCTCAAGGACGGCAAGCCGGTCACTCTGGACGACCGGGTGGTCACCAAGATGGACAAAGGCGTCCGCAAGTTGGTCTTCTACAAGGCGGCGTTTGACGACGCGGCCGAGTACACCGTCAAGTTCGCTGATTTGGAGTCCAAGGCCAAACTGACCGTTACAGGTATTTTCAAATTTTATATTTGCTACTTGTGAAATTAATATCAAATAATTTTCAAGTTGTTCTGTCTGATATTTTGGTGAGTTAATTGGTTTCAGGGGTGTGAAATCTCAGCTTTAAAGCTGATTTCAGCTTTTTTTGTTTTGAATTTCAGCTTTTTTCTATCACTTGCTGTGTACAAAAGTATAGGAGATTTCCAAAGTTCAGCTTTTTTACACCTTTTTCAGCTATTTTTATCACTGGTCACTCACACCCCTGTGGTTTGGAGTGCAAGATCAAGTTGACTGTTACATGTATTTGGAAATTCTATAAGCTATACTAGACGAAGGCTATTTTGAAAACGGTATGAGCTGTTTTGTCAACATCTAGAACTGCTTTCATTGATATTATGGTGAGTTGCTGTTGGACGCTTTGGAAACTATTTTGAACACCTCAATTATTTTCAAAGCTTTTGGTGATGTGTGGGTATATTTTTTGTGTTTTACCTTTCAGCTGTTACAGCTGTTAATCTGGAAAAGAAATTTCACTTGTTTTGAATTTTAAGAGTTTAAGCTGTTTTGAAAGCAAATTTATAACTTTCAAATTTGACCACAGACATTTATTTGTATTTCGTGCATTTTAGTCAAACTGGTTCATTTAAAATGAAATTTGGTCCTCTTGAAATATACTGTGTGGCATCCATCCCTTTCTTTATTGGATGATGTTGTGGGCTGTACAGAACGTTTCTTGGCAACAACATCTCCCTAACTCTGTTCTGTATGGTGCCCTTCCCCCTATCTCCACCACCATCAGACAGCGTCGGCTTCGGCTAGCCGGTCACGTTTATCGACATAATGAGCCAGCTAGTCAAGTTCTCCTCTGGAATCCTGAAGCCCCTCGACGAAAAGGTCGTCCCAACATGACCCCGAAAACATCCATCGAGCTAGAAACTGGTCTGAGTGGTCCATCTCTTTCCAACACTCTGCTCGACAGGGACAGTTGGGCCCAACTCATCAAGTCATCATGAAAATGAATGAATGAAGAAGAAGAAGATTTATCCACTGTATTGTTTTGTTTTCTTCCGCTCAGAGCCGCCAAACTTCAACGGTAACCTGCCGGATGAAGTGGAAGCCTTCGCCCACCAGGACGCCGAGTTTGCCACGGAGGTCTCCAGCGATGACGCCGAAGTCTTCTGGTTCAAGAATGGCCAGCCCATCATGCCCGGAGAGGAGGACAAGTACGAGATGATCTCCGAGGGTCCCACGCGCAAACTGGTCGTCAAGGACGTGGGGCCCGAGGACGAGGCCAACTACGCGTGCGCCCTGGACGAGACTCGAGCTACACGGTCTAATCTCAAAGTTCAAGGTTAGTTTGTCATTGGAAAGAAATGCATCAAAGACTTCAAACCAGAAAGGGGCCTGATTGGGGCCCAAAGGCTAATAGAATCATTTTCTTTTTGTGCATCACAACACCAATCGAAAAAAGAACGTTCAAAACCTAACCTGTTGAAGTTTCAGCTCAGTTGATATTACATTCTTTGAGAAAACAGTGGAAAAAAACCATGCGCAACCCTTTAGGCCAAAAAAAAAAAGTCTCCGGTTTCTGGTATGCGCGCGCGTCGCCGTAGCCATGCGCATCGGCAAAATGCAAAAGTTTTTTTTTCAATACAAGATGATGTCTCAAAACCGCCAAACTCACTGGTTTGACTGGAATTCTGCTGCTGCACAATTTTAACGTGTTTTTAGATGGGGTTATGATCGAGAATAAGCTTTATGTGGCCTCTCTGGACTCCCATATATTTGCACTAAGTTTAGTCGGGCACCATTTGCAGTCATCAGCCGACATTTGAAGCCAAAAAAAAAAAAAAAAAAGGTAAAAAAAAAAAAAAGCCGCGTCACCGCACCACTTTTGGGGCAAGCTCCATACCAGAAACCGGAGACTTTTTTTTTTTGGCCTTAGTCATGAGACACAAGTTTGTCAGTTGCACTTTTAATTTCCAAAACTAAATTGACTGATTGTTTGAAATCACCCACATGTCTTGAAAACTTGTAAATGACAACAAGCCAGACGAAATATAATTTCACGAGGTGTTGAGTACCCGTACGATCTTTAATCCAAGTAAACCTTTTGATAATAATTTGGGAGGTTACTTTTGGGATAAATGCATGTGTCTCTTGCTTACCAATTTATATTAACGTTTCAAAAATAGGAAATTTTCAAAAGTCCCCCCTTTTTTTCTACATATTAGCTCCACCCACCCTCAAGATGCCCCTGGACATGGAGGACTTGATTGTCAAAGCCGGTGAGCCTGTTGAAGTCACCCTCGACATCTCCGGCTCCCCCGCGCCCCAAGTGGAATGGTCCAAGCCGGGCACGACGCTGGCGCCGGACGATCGGACCCAGATGGTGACCATGCCCATGAGCGCCACGCTGCTGATCACGCACACCGACCGCAACGACACCAACGAGTACACGGTCACCGTGAACAACAAGCATGGCACCGAGTCGGCCAACTTCAAGATCACGGTCATTGGTAGGCACATTTTATCATCTTAGGCCAAGTTCGCGCAAGGACTATAGTTGACCAATGGTTAACTAACGTTTGCCCGAACTCTGTCTAGTCGACGATGGTTGACTACGCTAGTCGACTATTTGGAACCAGCCTACTGGGGTTGGTTGCTTCGCTGGTAACCAATAGCCGCGCGCATTCATAACGCTAGCAGAGAGCCAGGATCCAGAAGTTTTGCGATGACATTTTGACCAGCTTTTGACTAGAGACGTTCGCACGTTGCTACCAGTGCGCAGGCGTAAGGTACGTCAGAAATCAACCACTAGTCGACTAATGGTCCTTGCCCGAACTTGGCCTTGGGGTGAATTGTGGAATTTTTTTTAGTTTTTTAAAAAGGCAAGAATTTAACAAAATATCTTTTGAAAAATTATTTAATACCAGTGGTCGACCAATAAGCCATTTGCGAGTGACCTATACCCTTTGGAATTTAAATTTGAAAAACATCTGGTACACTGACTTGCTCAGAATGCTTGGCACATTTTAACTTTGAATTCTCCAGACCAAAGACACTGTTGCTAATCGTACGATTCGGGGCAAGCTCTTGCATAGTTACGTAAGAGACGCTCAGCATCAATACATTGCTCACAATGGGTGAGAATGGCACAAAGACACCAGACCATGCCGGAGCTGGGGGTTGCTAGCATAAGGCTTGCCCCGAATCACATGATATAGTAACAGTCTCTTTGGTCGGGAGAATGCAAAGTTAAAACGTGCAAAGCATTGGATTAAGTCAGCATTCCAGATTTAATTCAAATTTAACTCGCAAATGCCTTATTGAAAATTTTCCATGAAATTAGTTCTTCACAATAATCAAACCACTCTTTTTTCCACTCCATACAGACAAGCCGCAGGGTCCAGAAAGCGTCAAAATCTCCAGCTACGACGAGCACTCGGTCTCCCTCACCTGGAAACCGCCCGTCGACAACGGCAACTCGGAAATCACGCACTACGTGGTGGAGTACAAAGAGGTCAAGCGCGGCGATTGGACGGTCGCAACCGACAGCGTGTCAGAGACGGAATTCACCGTCCCCAACTTGACAGAGGGGAAGGAGTACACATTCCGCGTGGCAGCCGTCAACATAGTGGGTACCAGTGAACCGAAGCAGACAGACCGGACCCAGGTCGCCAAGGAACCATTTGGTGAGTTTTGGCTCTTCGTACTTGCTGCCAATTTTGTGGAGATGTTAAGCACAGAATTTCTGCTAAGCACGGAAGACATTCGCTTAGCAAAAACAGGTCACCAGCCAAAATCGCATGTCACATGTATTGCTGTTGACTGGTACTCTGCAAATTTTTGCTTAGCACACAAATTTGCTAAGCAGAATTTCTAAGCAATTTTATCTGCTAAGCGAAAACTAAGAGGCGAATTTTTTTTCTAAAGACTTGTTTTGAGGTTTTGAAATTTGGTTATTTCAGAGCCCGCTGATCAGATGGAAGCGCCGAAGGTCGTCGACACCCACGACGGCAGCATTGAGCTGAAGTGGTCCCCACCAGAATTCGACGGCGGCTGCCCGATCACTGGCTACATCATCGAGAAGCGGGAAGTCGGTTCCCCACGCTGGTCCAAGGCCACCAAGAGCCCAATCAAGGGCACCAGCTACGAGGTACCGGACCTGGTGCAGGGCGGGAACTACGAGTTCCGGGCCATCGCCGTCAACAAGGCCGGGGAGAGCGAACCGAGCACGCCTAGCAAGGCGGCTCTGGCACGGGAACCAATCGGTATGGGTCATTTGGGTTTTTGTTTATCAGAGACATCTTCTGAATTGTACTTTTTTGCAAATGCTTGATGGCCTGGCCTTTCTACTTGAAAGGCACATTTGAGTTAAGACCATGTGAAAATGTAAGCCATGTAGTTTGCCAGTCGTGTAGATGTGAGTTCAGACTAGCGTTGAGTCTGTTGTGAGTCACAATTTTGGTGACTCGTACTCAACTTGAGTCACGTTGACAAACGATTCGGAGTACATTGTAATATTATCACAGAATTCATCAATACAAGATGCTCTTTCTTTGGAAGCCATTCAAAGTCTATCTGTCTCCCTACCCCCTGCACAGACCCAGCCCTACCCCCAGGCGAGCCCGTCATCGAGGACGTGACCAAGGACTCTGTCACCCTCTCCTGGGCCAAACCCAAGGACGACGGGGGCAGTCCCATCGCGGGCTACTACGTGGAGAAGAAGAACCCCGCGACGGGCGACTGGGAACGTGTCAACAAGAAACCCATCAAGGATACCAAGTACAAGGTGCAAAGACGTGACGTTTTGACAATTTTTTTAATCTACCGTCGGGCCAAAATGCACACATACTGGGGTCGGCAGCAGCCTTTGAAAAGCGTTGGTTAACATGTTTGAGACCTGCTTCCACGAAATCCCGGATAAAATGGCAGAAGTTCATATTTTTGCAAAATGAAATTTGAAGTCTCTTCACGGTGAAACTGACAATTTTGAGGTTTGACGTTCTCTGAATCAGCAACAATGAATTTACGATTTCCATGAATATGAATGAATTCCATCAAGGAAGAAGACTTTGTTAAGGTTTGAAATATTTAGATTGTGCGTGGAGTTTCACTAAACATTTATTTTAAAAATTAACCTTGGATTCCCATTCTTGTAGGTGCCGGACTTGGTGGAAGGAGAGGAGTATGAATTTCGAGTGGTGGCCGAGAACGAGGCGGGGCTCAGCGAGCCCAGCGTGGTGTCACCGCCGGTGGTGGCCAAAGATCCCGAGAGTGAGTAACCCTAGATCACATTTCTGGAGCATTTTCTTGAAAGTTCGTGTTCTATGTACCCTCACGGGAAGTTGGTTTGCGCGGTTCTTTCCAATGACTGTTTCATCAAGTGGTAAAAACAAACATGAAACAGCCATCAAATGGGCAGTTTTGATGCAACTTGCTTAAGATGGGTTTAGTGAAATAGGTCTTTGGACGCATCTTAGCTAAGATCAGTCTTAGAGCAGGGACTTGTAAGTCTTAAGATGAGTCGCAAGATGAGACGAGTTTCGTGAAATTGGTCTCAGGAAAAACCCATGGAATCAGGGACCAATTTTATTGAGCAGAAATTTGCTAACATGTACAACCCCATAATTCAGGATTTCCAGTTTTTGTGCACCAATTTCAACGATAAAAAAAAAGGAAATATGGTTTAATTTCTGGACATAAACAAATGTTACACTAGATAATATATTTATTGAAAATATGTGTGATTTAGTCCACTTGGGGCAGGGTCAAGGCAAACCTAACAAGTCATTCAGTCAAGTGATATTAATTTCTTCCTGCTGGTTGTGGGCATTCAACCCATAATAAACTCCCTCAGGGGGATTAAATTTTGAGATAAGAGACAGTTGAAATCCTGGTACAGGCTATGGTAAAAACCCGAATATAGGCTCTGTACTTGGGTTTTGTCTTAAAGAGTGATTCACGGCATGGAATAAAACAGAACTCAAAATCTGTAAACTGGTTATCGTTTTTTCGTCCAGTCCCTCCTTCCTTGGACGTCTCCCAGCTTAAAGACCTCACAGTCAAGGCCGGCCAGACCATCAAGCTATCCGTCTCCTTCACTGGTACCCCACCACCGAAAGCCACCTGGAGCCTGGACGAGGAGGAGCTGGTGCCGGACGACCGCACCAAGCTGCGCAGCAACCTGCTGACGGCTGAGCTGACCACCATGGATGCGCGTCGCAGCGATACGGGGGTCTATGTCGTCACGGTCACCAATCCGTTTGGCACGGAGAAAGGCACGTCTAACGTCAATGTGCTCGGTGAGTTGAGAAACCTGGCAGCCAATTTCAAAAAGTTTTACCTTTTTAGTCACTTTACTGTCCCAAACCGCCCTGCTTATTACTCCCTGTAGCGCCCGAAACTGCATGAATACTCTGTGGTTTAATTACTTCATCAGTGAACAATGTAATACAATGTAATACAATGTAATACAATGTAATACAATGTAATACAATGTAATACAATGTAATACAATGTAATACAGTATAATACAATGTAATACAACGTAGTACAGGTACTAATTGTTTAATGTAATGCCATGATTAACATTGATATAACAACAACATTGTGACAAAATAAAAAATAGTGATCATTTTATTAAAATAAACAAATCTTTCAAATTTACTGATTATTATAATTTCTTTATCCTTAGACAAGCCCGGTCCCCCGAAAGGGCCGATGGAAATTAACGGCGTCACGGCAACCTCGGCCGTGTTGTCATGGCAAGCGCCAGCCGACGACGGTGGCCAGCCAATCACAAACTACATCATTGAGAAGAGAGACATCAAGCGATCTGGTTGGTCGGTGGTCAACGACACGACAAAAGACACAACACTCAAGGTAATGTTACAAATAAGCGGATACCACTACGGCGATTTTTAGTAAAGTAAAAGTAAAAAAAATTAAAGTCTGTCATGAGCCAATGTGACCCATTAGGCCGGCGTTTGTCTCTGGTTTCAGTAGCATGAAACGACTGAGAATATTTCTATTCCCCTGGACGGGATGCTAGTCCATCGCAGTTACTCCCAAGCTAATGCCGGTGTAGCGTGAATATCCGACTCCATGAAATGTGGACTCATTGGTAGTACTGCGCACGCGTGAGTACGATACCGTGCTATTTTTAGGATCGTTTCGGGAGAGTGACCTGTCACGTGCGAGGAGTCGGATTTTCATGTGACACCGGTACCCATTTATACTCCTGGGTGGAGAGAGGCAAGTGGGGGTGAAGTGGCTTGCACAAGGACACAACGTTAGGCCAGCAGCTGGGTTCGAACCCCTGACCCTCTCATCATGAGCCACGATCCCTAACCGCTAGGCCACACTTCCCCCATGACCATTTATGACCGTTGTATAATGAATTCCCAAAGTATGTAAAACCTGCTATCGTAAAAACATGATATCCATCTGTACACTAACAGGTACCGGTACCAGTTTTACTCCTGAGTGAGAAGAAGCAATTGGTGATGATAAAGAGTGCTGCTCAAGGACACAATCACTGCAACCGAGGCTGGTCTCAAACCAACAACCATTACCTACACAATGCGCTAGAGCAAAAGATCACAAAACTCCACCATATATTCTCTTAATTTTGCAAAAGACTTTATTGGTATTGGTAGAAAATAATTTTTCACATTTAGTTTAGAATTATCCATGAAATATAACTTAGAAGATTTGATATTCTTTCCCGTTTTTTTTAGGTTACCAAGTTACAAGAGAAAACGGAGTACATGTTCCGTGTTGCTGCAGAGACTACTCTGGGCGTCAGCAAGTACTTGGAGGCCCCACACACCGTCCTGGCAAAGAACCCATACGGTATGTGTCCCAGTTTTTGGTCCCATTTGGCGAACACGCAGGTGTAAAGTGGACAAAATTTCACAGCATTGGCTGAAGTAACCGCAATGAAATTTGCTTTGCTGAAATGTTACAAGTATGTACAGGGTGAGTTAAAAAAAATGAAACCCAAATGTTTGGACCATTGTTTTAGGGAAGTTCTGCATGTAGCATTTTCAAAATCTAGGATATGTAAGCCAAATTCATGAGCTTTCTTTTAGTACAAGAATCATTCAAATCACTCATGCACTTTTCAAATTACGGAATTTTTAAACACAACCGCCGTTTAAAGGTCCTGTCCACGGATCACAAAAAAGTTCAGTGTTCTTTCCGCAAAACTAAAGGAAATCACATAGGGATGTGTGTGAATTGATTACGTTTTGCTGAAAGAACGCACACCTTTTTCGTGATCCGTGGACAGATTTTGAAAGTGCTACATGCAGAACTTCAATCAAACAATAGTCCTGACATTTGGGTTTTGGGTTTTTTTTTTGACTCGCCCTGTATTTGCTTGGGAAACTGCCATCGTGGGGAAACTTGCTTAAAGTGCTTTTGCAACAAAAGTGCTCAAAATCTAAAGAAGGGTGCTTAACAACTAACCTGATGAAATTTTAGCGCAGTGAATGCTGTGTATTTCGAGAAAACAATGTTCTAGGATCTCGATTTTAAATCAAAAGTTGCTGAGTCGTGTTTTGAATTGCGCCCAGGAACGTTCTCGTTCAGTCGATTGTAGCTACGCGATTCACGCACTGAACTGTCGAATTATAGCAACCGGGCGCGCGTATGCGCCGTGTCAATGCTTGCGCGCTACATGTATTTGTAAAGAAATATTTCACAGTCCCTAGTTGGGCCAAGTCACATTTTGTTACCCTTTGATTCTTGTGATGTTGACAATTCCTGTCTTGTTTTTGTTTATTATTTTCTCTGGATGTTTACATTTCTCTCTTGTTTTTTGTTTTTCAGATGAGCCCGGCGCACCGGGCGTGCCGGAGGTTGTGGACTACGACAACGACTTCGTGGACCTCGAGTGGGAGGAGCCTGAGAACGACGGAGGGGCGGACATCGAGGGCTACGTCGTGGAGAAGAAAGAGAAGACCAGTACTCGCTGGATGGATGCTACCGACAAACCCGTCAGAGGCACTAACTTTAAGGTCGGAAAATCTCCTGTTCCCAATTTCAAATCGAATTTGATTTTAAAAAATCGCGCAATAAGTCTCACGACATGCTTTCGCGTAAAATGTTAACGTGCTCCTATGACGCGCTCATTGATTTGTGCGTATATGTTAAAACGTGCAACATTATCGCGTGACAAAATCATGTGTGTGTAAATAAATTTCAGGGAACGCAATCAGAAATGGCATCCTTTGTGAATTGGTCTATGTCACCATTTCATGACCAATGCACGTTTTCAAGTTAAGAACTGCGCAAATAAGTTCAACATTCATACCACAATTGAAGTTTAAAAATTTAAAGAGAAATAAGCTTTATAATTGGCTTAATATATCACTAAAAGAACACAACTTCCAAATCAGTATCTTTTTTATTTTTAAGAAATGCATTTATGATGAGTGAAGATGAAGATCTAGTTCAGAATTTTAAATTGTGATGCCCTGGTCACTTTTCACGAAGTGCGTCTTATCTTTGTCATCACAACTCTCTCTTTTTTGGCAAGTATTTGGGATGTTTTGCACAGGTTGTACATTCCCAACAACAGTCGTGAAATTATGTTTTTTTTTCTGCCTTCCTCAGGTCCCCAATCTGATAGAGGGGCGTACCTACGAGTTCCGCGTGGCTGCAGTCAACAAGGCTGGCAAGGGCAAACCTAGCCAGGTGTCACAGCCCAAACTGGTCAAGGCTAAATTCTGTGAGTAAAAATCACGACATTGTTG